CATTATGTTTGAGTAGTTCTTTTCAGAGCTTGTTAGATAGGTCAGAGTTAATATCAAATACATAGGCTTTCTATTGATCAGTTTACTCAACCTAGAAATTGGGGAATTTGCGCCAAACACCGTTCTACGAAGAGGTGGTGTTATAAGAGGAATTATTCTGCTACGGGTTACCTATAAGTTGCGGAATTTTATCTTATTTATCAATTAAGGGAAGTTAATTTTGTTATTTATTAATTTGTTTAAGAAGAGTTAGTCGGATATTTGTCTACGATTAGCCAAAGATGTAAAAAGTAAAAAGTAAAGTTACAGCCTATATACGTCCCACTGCTGGGCACAGGCCTCCTCTCATTTTTGAGAGGGTTTTAGGGCAAGGAATACTCCGCCGCGCTGCCCCAATGCGTGTTGGCGAACTTCACATGTCATCGAAATATTTCTTATCTTATTCCTTAGACATGCAGGTTTCCTCACGATGTTTTCCTTCACCGCCGAGTACGTGGTAAATCAGCACTTAAAATTGCAATTAACAATTTCATTGGTGCCGGCGGGGATAGAACCCGGTTTGCTCGCGTATTGTGAAATTTATAGCGAGCGCTAACCATCTGAGCTACCACGGCTCTAGCCAAAGATGTAATCTTGATAAAATATAGCTGTTTTTATACGATGAAAGTTTTTCTTACGCCGCTGCTCATCACCGTTTAATGACGGCGTAATTAAGTTATGGCAAATTTATTTAACTTTCTAAAAACTGAAAAACTGATGAGGATTCCCTCATCTGCTTTCAGGAGATAGAAAAGTTAACGATAAAAATGTTGTATGCAAAACTATAAACTTTTTACTTATCAATATGAACAAAACCTATATATTGTGTTATTTATTATTTTCATATTAGCTCCCCTTTGCTTTCTTAGTAATATAGCACTAGATGTCTCTATATCGCTGCGTAATCTCTGAGCATTACAATTAACGAAGCCCCGAGATAACCCGCCACTCGCCACCCGCTGATAAAGGCCCGCACTAGTACTAGTTTAAACCGGTTAAGCAGCCACCGCCCTCAGGGTTTATCTAATTACCCTACGCCAACACGTAAGCGTTCTCTCAAACGCAAATTCGTACGTTACACCCCTTCAGCGAGCCTCTGAAAACGTTTCACGTTTCGGACAATTTCTGTTAACAGCGGTAGCGACTAAGGGGTGCGGCACGTACGTAAATGTTTGCCGGGCGTCGTACTATCGGTATTCCGAGCTTCCGGTGGGTTCCCCGTTGGTACCTTCGTCAAGGACCATCGATTACTATCTAAAGTTAGAAACGGGCACATATTGCACAACTTTCGTACAATATCGGGGATCAATAAATCAGTTTCAATTGCTTTACGTACTTATAACTTTTCCGTATGCTGAAGTTATTGAGTAAGAAAATAATTATTCCATTAGATTTATAAAAACGCAATAAGTAACAAGTTTATATTATTTATACATGGTAGAGCCACGCTGCAGCTATATTATGGTTGTAGCTCGAATAGGTTGGCTTGACCTGGGAAGGACCACGCTCTCACAGAATACCGGCGTAAAATAGCAGCTTAATACTGCTGTGTTTCGTATGGTGAGTGTAGAGATCCGGAGACTTTTTTTACTGGAAAAAAGGCATTCCAATCTTAGTCCTCAGGGGTGACAACGCATCTGCGTTATTATTTTTAACCGAAGATAAATGTAGATTTCTATGGACCACAGCATCCACTTACCATCAGGTGGACTGTGTGCTCGTTTGTCACCCTTATTCTTAAAAAAAATGTACTTTAAAAATTCTAAATAGATAATTTCAGTTAAAAATTATTAAAACGTAACAAATATGAAATCATGTGTTCAGTACGTCCGTCCAACATCGCCAGACCACCTGTGCGTCCGTCAATCACAGGCGATTTTCTTTAAGATTATGATTTATTCTGTCTCTAAAATATTTTTTTATCATTTAGCCTAAACTTCAAGTTTAGAAGAATTTTTATACGTGGTAGAGCCATGCTGCAGTTATATTAGTAGTATAGTTGTAGCACGAATGGGTCGGCTCGACCGGGGAAGGACCACGCTCTCACAGAATACCAGCGTGAAATAGTAGCTTAATGCTGCTGTATTTCGTATGGTGAGTGTAGAGAACCGGAGACCCTTTTTACTGGAAACGAGGCATTCCATCTTAGCCCTCACGGGTGACAACGCATCTGCATTTTGATTCGTAATCGAGGATAGATGTAGATGTCTATGGGCCACAGCAACCACTTACCATCAGGTGGACTGTGTGCTCGTTTGTCACCCTATCCTATAAAAAAAAAAAAAAAAGACATCTGCGTAATCTTTTATTTTTACATATTTAATCGTTCTGAGAGGTTAACCCTTTTACTTTACTTTACTTTATGTCATCGTTGACGCGTATGTTAGTAATTAAACTTCTGAACGACATGACCGATTGAGGTTATATTCACATGACTTTTTTGTTTTGTCGAGACGATGATTCATGTGATATATTTATATGTACCTACACCTAGCTGGCGCGGCGGTAGAAAGTCCGCCGGGCCAGCTAGTCTTTTGAGGTTACTATCTCTAGCTGCAAATAGCCTAAATTAAACTGCTGGAAACCATTTAAATTTAAAAATACATAGGTAATAAAATTTAATAAAAAATCTCTTAATTTTAACTTACAAAAATAACTAATTTTAAACTTACTTAATTTTAAATACTACTTTTTAAATCAATTTCATTTTCAACAAAAAGTTTTATTATGTTTTCATACATCATCATGTCCAGTGGACTTGTGAAGAGCTGAATAATGAATGGTAATGACATTTTAGACCCTTTATACTTTCTCGTACCGAACCCACAATATAAACGATATATTATGATGTCTAATTGATCAAACATTTAGGAATATTAATAATTATAAACAGTTATTTTAGAAAAATTAAGAAAAACCTTAATTAGAAAATATATTAAATGAAAACTAACGTAAAAATTGCTTACGCGACCAATTGTTGTAAATAACTACACGGGGTAAATTGGATCACACTCCGTGTGCAGCGTTACGTTTTTAATGATGATTTTAATTTCATTTGTATTTATATCAATTTTATTAGTTCTATGTTGATTTTTATTACTTGAACGATTTATGATGTATTTATTTTTCATCTAAAAGTAGCACAAATTGGACTTGTTTTATAATAACAGTAAAGTGCGTAATATAACTCATATTATCAAAATTATTATAACTACTTTACAAATTATTAAATCTTATTATTTTCTTTAGAATAAAATTTGCCCTAATTCTCAGGTAAAATAGAATCTGTTCCGCATAAGAAGTCCCGTGGAAAAAATGCGAACTAAAAATGTTAATGTATTGAAATTGACAGCAAATGTCAAACTTCGCGAAGACTGTGGCTCCGCGGCTAATATTCTTCTTTAGTTAGAAAGGCTCTTTTTAAACCATACTTTAAGCCCAAGACTATCAATAAAACAAGTTTTGAATTATGACGAGATTTCGTAACTTGCTTATTAAAAACAAATAGCGCTTTCGTTGAGATATACATGTTATTAGGCATTGTTTAGGTGACTGACAATAAAATTTACAATTTTCAAATTTTAAAAAAAAACTATCAAAATTCTAACACAAATATATCTGTCCTTTTCAACAAAATACCCTTAAATAACTGTTTATTAAATAATTTCACTGTTCTATAATTGCCTGTAATTATTAATTTTAAAATTCATGGCAATGATAATAATTAGTATAATGTATGACTAACTGCCCTTGAAATAACATAAGCTTTGTAACTTAACTTTAATACTGAACTATAAAGCTAAAATACAACAAAGCCAAATGATATATAATGGCAAATATTTAAAAAAATCTTAAGGACTGCTTAAATACGTCCATGTCTATAACGCGTATAACATGTTACCAAATTTATAAATGTCTCACGTAGAATGCTATTTCATTAATTCTGATTTATAATAATTAATTTTATGACAGTATTTATAATTTTTAGTTTCACAATATGCAATATATACTCGTAATTTTTTATCTTTAAAACATAATTTTTCGGCAAAATGAAATGACGTAAGATATTTCGTTGTTTGTCAAACGTAAACATGTTTTTTAATCTACTACCGTTTTAAAATGGGGATGTTTACATAGTATACATACATCAACAAAACCAAATATACATAAAAGTGATTTTAAAAAGGAACGTGAGACAATTTACAGCGACTATTTATTACTGATTTGTGCGGAATCACAATAATCATAACTATATGACGTTACTAAACGTCATCATCAGAATCAGAAATATTTTATGAAAAATTGATGAATAAACTGTTAAAATTAAAGGACAAAAAGTTTATAGCGTAGTATAAATTTATGAGATCTTCTTCGACGCCCTTAGTAAACCTCTTTTGCCTGATTTCGTTTCGAAAAAAGTTGTCACAGTGACGTCTAGAAAAAAGTTTTTAAAAAGTTAACTTGACCGCGAAACTTTTAGAATTATTCAATTAATAAAAACGGCAAAAATATGCTAAAAATTGCTTAACTGAGAAACATTTTATGTACAAGTAAACTATGTAAAATGTAATTAATATTTTAAATAATCGATTAATATTGAACTTGAGTATTTTATTGGTTTCTTGCCAACTCCATTTAACACTGCTGATTTGATTTTAAAACTTAATAAACTTTTAATGCATTTCTATTTGATTGACTTCGCCTCCGTGAAAATAATAAAATTGGTCTGAAAGCTCTTGAGTGAAATGGTTTTTACGTGGGAACGATTTTTGTGCAATTAAACTTAAATATGAAGTGCTAATATTGTGATGACGTCGAATTGAAAACGCCGAGAATCATTTCCGCGTAAAAATATTTTGATTGTGGATGGAAAATCGAATCGCAAGTACAGTACTTTTATTTTATTGATGTTTTTTATTCTGAATATACAAGAGCGGACTTGACTGGTCTGTTTGTTCCAGGACGGCGCCGCTGAACACACATTCGTCGTTATCACAAATCAATAAAAGAAGACTGGAGATTGGAGTTGATATAGAAGCATTTCGAGTAAACGAAAGGCGTTTTGAGTGTATTGGAAACGAAAGTTCCATGGATGAAGAAGTAATAAATAAAAGACGACGGCGTTTACTTGAAGATGATCACAGGGAAGAATCTGATGCGTTGCAACACGCTCTTGCATCTAAGCTGCCTCACTCCATAAGGCACCCAGACGAAGACGATGAAAATCTTATTAGGGAAACTCAAGCAGCGCTAAGAACTCTTTCTGGAAGTTGGTCAAGAGATCAAACCTGCGCTCAGAGTGGTGATGAAAACGAAAGTGGCAACGATTTCGAAAACCTTTTTGATGACAAGCGATCAGACAAAATGCTTCCTTCGTCTCCATCACAATCTTCTGAAAGTGCGGAAGCATCACAGAAAAGTTTTGCCTTACGTAATATAAATGATGAACATAATAACTGCAACTCCAATGAGGGTAATAAACAACAAATGTCTTTGTCAGATAGAGAGAAGAGCATTGACGATGACAGAAATAGTAGATACTCTAATCATTACGATGGACCTAATTTCGACGAACTTGTCGATTCATCGTCAAATGAGTTAGAGATAGACATGTCTGATCGAAACGACGAGAAATACGATGATGATAAAGACTTAAATAATAAACGGAAAAGCGAAATCATAGCTGTAAACAAGCAGTCACTGTATAATGCTTACAAAGCTGCAACAGCAGCGTTGCCCTTCTCAACGCAATCTGCGTTTAAGCCACCGGCCGAAGTAAAACATAAAATTCCTGGGAACACGTTTCCAAGTGAACCATTCGGGGGGTATTCAAACGAACCTGAAAAAAGTTCTGGAGTTAAGGGTTCAAAGCAATACACGGTGCTTCAGCCGGCGGGTGCTGGATCGCGAGCGGCGACGGCGTTGCAGGAGGCGCGCGCCGTACCTTCGACACAGCCTGCGCGAGACTCGCGGGCTTTCACATCGCTTTCGCCGACGCCACATCGAGGTGCGCCGCCTCAAAGAACTGTTACCAAACTTTCTTAACTACCTCACCGTTCCATTTAACAGTGCTATCAACTAAGTTTGTTTCAAGGTCGTGCAGAATATTTCTTGTTTTACAATCAACTAAGATTTCCATAAGAGTTAATATTACTAAACACTACAACGTTTTAGTTATCGCAATATGTAATATGATTAGTAAATTGCAGAGTCAAATGAAACTCAAACTCGTTGTTATTATTCAAAACGAATATAGTTCTAGAAAACAAATTTTATCTTGTAACGAAATTTACCAACAAATCATCCTTCATTTTTTATGATGTCTCTCTTAACTGAGTCTATGGATGTTAGAATATGGGACTCCACCTATGTCAGTATCTTATATACAATATAAATGGTAATACCTAAATATTTCCTCGTATTGCTGACTAATAGCTAGGTTTACGTCAGGGCGAAGTGCAATAAAAACGGGTCAAAGCAGGCGGTGGGCGGAGCGTTATCGCGCCGCCCCGCTTCTCCTGAAAGAAAAATCGGTAGTTGGCCCGCGCAGCCGCCCGGCGTTCTTTATTTTTTCTTTTAAGTTTGCCGGCGGGGTGGGGCCGGGCGCTGGGCGGGGCTGCGCAGGTACGCCCTGCGGACACGCCCGTTCGTATCGATCGCACACGTACGCCCCCGCTTGATGATTGAGAAAATTCTAATTCGTGTACCGCTCGATTTGTTCACAGAAGGCAACAAGTGTCCTACTCCTGGCTGCAATGGGCAGGGCCACGTCACTGGACTTTACACGCACCATCGGAGGTGAGTTGCCGTTATGATTTTCATGTATTTCAGTGACACCAACACGAACGAAAGCTGCAACCAAAGCACAAGACTACTCCAATAAGTAATTCCTAGTGTAGTAAAGCGTTAGTAACATAATATATGAAAGGTTAAAACGAATTAATTCTTATAGATTTCAATACACAAGCAAAAGTGTACGATACTAAACACGTATACTGATCAAAACATTTTTTCCCTCAGTCTGTCAGGATGCCCAAGAAAGGATAAAGTCACCCCGGAGAGTGAGTAAATAAATACATATTGATAAAGAGCTTTTAATGTATTTTTAGCGTTCAGTACTGTTTTTATAGTAACCTAATGGAATCATCACAAAGCTTAACTAAATAAAAAATGTTAACGAAATGCTGTACGTCAAAAGAACATTTCGATATCCATCTAAAAAATTCTGGTTACTGTAGGCGGTACGGAGCACTAAGTGTTTTTTTTTTGTATCACAGATCTTTATTTTACTTTCTTAATTTTTTTAAATTAGCATTTATATATGTCGTCGTATTTAGTGCCTACAAATAAATATCAACACAATATTATACCTCGTTCCTTTTCCTAGACAATAATGATATTTTTCCAAAATTTCAATCAGCTTAAAAAAAAACTTGACATAGATTGTTTGTGCAGTAATTTATAATTTATTTTCTTTATATTATATAAATGAGTAAATAGATTAAACATTTATTATATAGTAGGTTTATTATATTATATACTGTAATTAGGTTTTAAAGAAATCAAGTTTACACACATATTTTTAACATTCGTTTTTTGTTAATTAGTATTTTAGTTTTTGTAGTAATTAGTAAGTACAATTATTATAAAGCATCAGTTTAAGTAATTATCAATTGCAAATATAAGTTTAACTTTTATCTAAGCCTTTTTCAATAATATATACCGTGTCTCTATTATTAAACATCATATTATGTCCAAGGCACAGATAAATATGTCCTTGTATTATTTAACAAAATATGACTCAAGAATTTTGTGTGCACCTAACGGCGAGTGATAAATCACCACCTTCAACCTACGGCACCCTACTCCTAGATGCTCTCAAGATGTGACAATTTAATGTTACGTGGTAAAACCACGCAGCACGAATGGGTCGTCGTTTCATATTAGTTTTATGGGTGACAACGCATCTCCATTTTGATTTTTAACTGACGATAGTTGTAGATGTCTATGGGCCACAGCATTCGCTTACCATCAGGTGGACCTTAAAATACTTGTATATTCTTAGTTTGTGAGCATTGAAAGACTCAGCGACGGGGCCCTTTTTTTTAAATTTAATGACAGATCAGCATTGAGTATTTATGTGTTAGTAACCAATCACAGAAATCTGATCTAACCGCACTTCCTTAATATACATGATTTACAAGCGTTTCCCTAACGCAAGCAGGTATTTCCTGGAAACATTACTTTTCTTGATTAGAACCGATGACTGTGTTACAGTGAGATTCTGCCACATCGATATAACTTGCCGACACTATAAATATTATTAACTAGCGATCCGCCCCGGCTTCGCACGGGTGATTTTTGGATCTCGACAACAGCGCCACCTACCGGGTGTAATTGAGTTTTAAAACCATCCAGGGATTCATTCAAATACACAAAACAATCATCATAATCGTTCAAACCGCTTTCGAGTTTTAGCGAGACTAATGGACAGCAATTGATTTTTATGTATAAGAAGATAATATTAGAATTTTAACTGTTATAAACATGTTCAATAAATTTACGGTCTTCAAAAATAAACTAAAAGAATATGCAACCAACAATGTTAAATTAATTTAATTGTATCTGAATTTAGCCCTGGTTTTTTTATAGGATAACCGTATATGTCACCCACAAACGAGCTCACAGTCCACTTGATGCTAATTGAATGTTGTGGCCCATGGATATTTACATTTATCTTCAATTTAGAATCAAAATTCAGATGTGACGCGATGATGCGTCGTCACCCCTGAGTACTGAGATGGAATCCTCGTTTCCAGCAAAAAGAGTCTACGATTCTCTAAACTTACCTTATGAAACACAGCAGCATTAAGTTGCTATTTTACGCTGGTATTCTGTGAGAGCGTGGTCCTTCCCCGGTCGAGCCGACCCAATTGTGCTACAGGTATAATATAGCTCAACCACATAAATATATAGTCTTAGCATTGTTTTTAATTTCCAACTATATTATTTTTGATTCTTTGTTTCTAGTTCCTTTCAATATTAAATTAATCTAATTTCGGCTTTGGTACAGTGTATAATTTAGCATTTTACATAATTAATTTACACCAACATTTATTCTGACTTTTTGTTTCTAGTTTCTTTGCAACGACATTAGTAGTTGTATTGTATAGTGTCCCCTTAATTTAATTGTTATTGTGTATATTATTTTATCACTTATGTTTGTGTTCATCGACCTAAAAACCTTGTTAAACATTTTCCTTTTAAGTTTCTTATGAAGTGTAATTATCTATTTCTTTTGAGAAAATAAAGTTTTTAATCCATAATGAAAATATTGTAAGAAAAATTGCATGTCTAAGAAATTAAAGTAGATGAACAAGTATTTAAAGAACTTAATATAGGTAGAGTTCACTGATGTATATAATAGAGGTCAGTGGTAGAGTTCCAAAGTCCAAACAAAATTAGAGCGGCAGACTTTACTCCAATATAATTTCAAAAAAATCTTAATAAAACAACATTTGTCATTTTCATTCTTTATAATATGTTTAAATAACACAATTAAATTTTTTTATACACCGTGGCCGAAATTCGGTCTGGAGGTCATTATTATTATTATTATTATAAATACACACAACCATAAAGCTTTTATGGACTATTTATGATGTAGTAGCGGTGTAAAAATATATATCCACTACTGGCAACTATGGCAAATATCTTCCTATGAAGCAATACATGGGGGAGGCCTATGTTCAGCATTGAACTTTCATAGGCTATAACGGTAACGGTATAGACTCTATTGAAAATTGATCTATTTATACTATAAATATAATACAATCCATTTAAGCTTATAGTATACTTTAAAAACTAAATATACGATGGCTAACGAATACCTTACGTCACAGTATTGGCGCTCCACGAGACAATCTTGAAGTGCCCGACGCCGGGCTGCAACGGCCGCGGCCACGTGAGCTCGAACCGAAGCACACATCGCTCGCTGTCCGGTTGCCCCACGGCCGCCGCTCGCAAAGCCGCTGCGAGGTCGCAACGCGCCAGACCCGCAGGTACAAGACTTTTTTTTTAAACTTAACACCCCTAATAAGATTTCGATTCACCTGTATCGAAGACCTTTTACATAAATAAATTGAACATGGATAAAAGTCCAGACTTGGAACAATTATTCGTAGGCCATACAAACACGTTTTGCGTGCGGAATTCGAACCTGCGATCCCGCAACAATGCAGTCTCTTAGCGACTTCGCTACCGAATCGCTGAAATTATGGCGAGTACACACTACTAATCATTACTGACAGTGTATCTAAATCCACATGATAAGTTTTTGTTTTCCACAACTTCTCGCTATTATGTGACACGGTGGAAAGTGTAATAACAGCTCATTAATAGTTGACAATTTACCTCAAATTGCTGTCTAATAATGGAATTATTATGTTTGCAAATACAGTACCACCCCCATCGCATCCACCAATAAACACAAATACAGAAAACTCGAATACAATACGCGAAAGAGAACGCGAACGTGAGCGCGAACTGGAACGAGAACGTGAACGCGAACGCGAACGTGAACGTGAACGAGAACGTGAACGTGAACGAGAACGAGAAAGGGAACGCGAGCGAGAGCGAGAACGCGAACGGGAGCGTGAACGGGAACGTGAACGCGAACGCGAACGTGAACGCGAGCGCGAGCAAGCGGCGTCGCCGCCGAGTCCCGCCGTGAAAAGCGAAGCACCCGAACTGCTCGTGCCGAAGCGCGAGGCCGCCGAGCCCGAGCGCGACTCCCCCGGTGGGATGGAGACGCGCCACGCCGGCTACGGCGCGCCGCCCGATCAGCGATCGCCTTACGAGCGTCCACCCGACGACCACGTTCGTTCCTACAGGTAATTACATTAATAATTATTTAAACCCATTAAAAACTGTAACCGTGATACGATAACGATCTGCGGTGCCACCTTGCCTAACTTTGTGGCGTAATTACAGGCGATGATACCTTGCATCGTCTTCCTCAGACAATGCATCTGTAGCTATTTTAAAAATGGTTGCGTGTGTCGGTGTCGCTTTCTATCAGATGGGCTATTGTTAGCTTATCATCCTATTAATTATTATTTAGCAACCTCAGTTCCTTACCACGACTTGCATGCTATAATGGAAAACATCGTTTCCTCATTAATTTCTGCGAGAAATTAAAAATTATTACTAGATGGTCTCCAACGAATTTTTTCTCTAGGTCCAGCATTACAACATTTAAAGGACTTTACTTTTATTTGGAAATTTACTATCATTGATGTTTATAAAAACGACGATATTTTTAAAAATAATGGACACAGGGCCTTTTATGCATAATTTGCATTAATTTACATTATAGAGGTTATACAGAGTAGCTAAATTTTAAACCTAATTTTTAAATATTGATATCTAGGCTTCTAATTTTATTTGAAATTATCACAAGTTGAAAGTGATTTATAGGCAACAACGTTTTTTCCGTGTACGCCCGCAGTAAAATCTGTTAAAATAAGGCATTACCACGCATTTTGAATTTAAAATGACAGAGTGTTTGAGATTTTCTTAATTCATTTTTCTTCACCATTTGCCTGTATTATTACTTATTCTGAACCTTCTCTGCATATTTGACCGGTTATTGCAAAATATAGAATTACGACATTTCTGTTTAAAATTGTTGTGTTATTTTTATTTTTAAATTACATACCACTTTTCATCAAATGTCCTGTGTATATCATAAATGATAAAATCAAATTTAAAAAAGTACATAATTTGATTCACATACTACTTTTTTCCTATTTATTAAGCAAACATAAAAGTTGACATCTCTGACGTTACATTTCTCTCTTAGTCAAATGAACGACGCTCGGTACGGATACGAGTCGCGATGCTACGAAGGTGCCCCAGCCTTCGAGCGATACGATCCGGCACAATGTCCACAACGTCCATATAGCTGGGAGGAAGAAAGATATCACGACCCGCATCTGCCAACGCCAATGAAAACAGATCAGTCTGAGCAAGAGACCAGTTCCGGACCAATATATCCTAGGTATTTGAAAATTGTTCCTATTCGTAACTAACCCCTAATACTTGTTATTAAACTGTAATTCTATGCTTGTTATTACTACTTACAAATTAATAGAACTCAGTAAACACACAAAATAATGCCTGATATGTGGTAAACGAGACCCACTTTCTATGTAACATCCCTATATTTTTGTAACTTGTGTCGTTACCAAAAAAATCGAATAAGAGCGTAAACCATCCTATTGGTCCAGACCAATGTACCACTACGAAGCCGGTAGCGGAGTAGGCGGTGTTGGTGGCGTCAGCGCGATGGCACCAGGCGTCCCACCCGGCTTCTCCGCGATCAATCTATCAGTGAAGATAGCAGCAGCCCAGGCGCAACGACCGCGTACTCCCACACCAAGAGACCCACGCGATCCCCGTCCAGCCATAGATCTCTCCACTTCTAGTGGTAGTCCACAGGTGAGATCTTGCACCCCGAGATATTCTATAACTGCTTTTGATAAATGATACATAAAATCGATTTAATAGTTCCGCTTGTCTTCAATTCTAAAAGCCCATTTTTACAACAGGGTCCATATGCATCCCCGGTGTACACGAGTGCCGGTGGCGGCAGCGGGGGCGGAGCCCGAGGCAGTCCACAGCCAGGCGCTTCGCCCCAGCTCACAGCCAGCCCCCAGGTGCCCAGTCCGCAGGGTCAGACCCTCGACCTTAGTGTGTCCCGTTTACCACATAGGTGAGGCATATTGAGATAGGTCTGTTATTTTTAAAACATGGTTATTTTTCCCAATTTAATTTCAGATTATTTTTAAATGTTTTATATTTAATTGTCAAATAATATTTGTTATATATTTGTCAACAGTCGAGGTTTCCCCGGTGGTGTGTCGTATAGCCGAGAGTCAACACCAGACAGTGGCGGCAGTCATCCGTATTTAGAAGCATATCATAGAGATGCTGCTGGTAAATAAAATTAATTATTCCTTTAAAATCAACATTAATAACTTGAAAAAAATATTATTTCATTAATTAGCATATTTATATGGATTTCAAACTTCGTTTTTTTTATTTGGATGGATATTAATTTTTTTTATTAGCAATATTCAAGTAAAAGTGAAAGAAGGTTCACACACAACAAACGACACTTTACATTTTTAACGATTTCTTCGCCATTATATTTATCGTGTACCAGCGTAGGAAAATCAATCTTTCTACTTACTTATATTCCATGAGTATCGTAAGAAGCGACTATGGGGTTGCCAGAAAGAGCTTAATAAGTCAGGTGAATAGTATCTAGCGTCGTATGCCACGCATATAATACCCAGACCGCGGCGATGGGAAGCAACGTCAAATGTGCAAGATGTCTGGTACTAAGATATCCGCCTGACAAGAGTCACCTTCTTAAAGGATGGCATGCGCATATCTATCTAAACAATGATGAAGATTTATAATCATTACATTATTTCCACTCATGACACTTTTATTTTATTTTACTGGTGTTATTAGGTGAGAATTAAGTTAAAATACTTATACCATTTTCTTATATCGCACCTTGATGTTTTAATCTGAAAAAGCTGAAGGTACACAGTACATAATGATACCGTAAAACATATCGTACAAATTAAAATGAGACCACTATAATCACACTACGCTGTACCGAGTGCACCTCAACCGCAACATGTCGGTTGAAGAAACGTTGTTAATCCAACATAACAGGCGCTCATACATAAGCTCATTTCATCGTTTTAGTCTTAATAATTTTCAAACATTTCCGCTCTTAATTTATTACTCTTCAACTTATTCATAAAGGTTTTCCTTTACATATGTCGATATGGAAAGAAAAACTTAAAATTCAAGTGTTTTCTAAGTTATTTTGTCGATAATACTATACAATACACATTCCTCTTCACTAAATCGAAATATATATCGCACCGATAGATACTCAATTAAAAAATATTAAAAACGTAGACTAAATACTAATATTATGTTATCAATTTTCGTAATAGGATACGGTGGAGTCAGTCCGCATCCAGTAGCTGGTTACGGTTTAGGCCAACCGGACTACGCGGCGGCAGCAGCTGCGGCAGGTTATGGGGGCTACCAGTACCAATGCGGTGCTTACCCTCCACCTCCCGCCTACCCTCCACACGCTCCCCCCTATTCACCACCGTGCTACATGCCGCCACCCCACGCCCCGCACGACAAGCCTAAGGACAGCAGGTGAATATACTCTTTAAGCTCACATTGAACGTGGTTGTAATAACCTCATAGTTATATAGAGTATAATATTAAGTAACAATGAATACACTCTTAAAAATTTGCACAAAAATAGGTAAATAATATAAAAAAAACTTACTATTTTTCTCACAGGGCCTTCCTTAGGCTTAGACTAAAAACGTATTAACTTGAACTTAAACAAGCACTGCACTTTTTATAGGATAATGGTGGTAAACGAGCACACAGCCATATAAACGGTTGTTGTAACCTATAGGGTACATCTATCTTCGATTGAGAGTCAAAACCACATGCGCTGTCACCCTTGAGGACTAAGATGAAATGCCTCGTTTCGAGTGAAAAGGGACCGGAGATCCTCTACACTCACCGTGCGACACACAGCAGCATAATGCTGCTATTTTACGCTGATATTCTGTGAGAGCGTGGTCCTTCCCTGATCTAGCCGACCCATTTATGCTACAACCATATAACCATATAACTGTATCATGGCTCTACCACGTAAAAATTCGAAAATGTAACTATTGATGATGAGCAACTAATGGCTTTGCTTTTGATTGACTTTAATATGATAATTTTCAAAAGCCTTTGACTGTTCACATATAATTTGAGTCCCTATCTCTCTATATTTGTTTTATTCTCGACTATTTTTCCGAATGTCCAGACTCATCCAGAACTTTTTATGTACAAGTATTTTGACTCTTCAACTCATAAAATTTGTGTGATCTTATCTAAGTCCAAACATATTACGCTGTATGATAACACGTACTCGTTTTAGTCTTTGATGTTAACTGATACTAAATGTACTTTATTAATATACTATAATATTCTATATGGCATCAAAGTTCTAGGTATGTCGGGCAGAATAGGTATTTAAAAAAGTCGCCGCTAAAATCGACTAAACTAAATAAAATTTTGATTTACATATAGATATGGATAGAGAACACAAATTCAAATTCAAAAAATTTGGAAAATCCAAAAGTTTACACCTCTAATTGTTTTGAATAATTGTTTTTACTTTTATTAATAACCGAAAGACGTATTTCGTTTAAAACTCCAAATAAATTGTTTCTGTTTAATTAAAACGATTTTTTACTGCTTGATAGGGGTGATTCGTATTTTGTTACCAAAAAAATTGTCAATTTATAATAGTAAAATTCAAAAGACTTCCTAGGGATTAAAATCTAAAGGTAATAAAAAATTAAAGCGATAAGTTTAGTCTATCGAGAGATACTCGTATTTTGTTCACATACATACTCACCAACTTAGACTTTGACTTGGACGTCAAGTGAAATTATTTTCAATTAACTTTTTTTAATAACAATCGAAATATATAATCTTATAACTACTGCAATTCCTGCAAATCTCCTGGTGTTGCGGTTGATCATGGGCGGCGGTAGTCACTTAACATCAGGTGAGCCGCATGCTGGTTTGCCCCCTCTTCTATAAAAAAAAACGACAGAATTATTAATTGAAATCTCGTCTTACTATTGGTGTACTTTTTTTTATTATATATATATAAGTGCAATATAAAGCTGGTGAAACTGATTTAAGTGGATCGTGATTTTTTGATTCGGTGACAATAGAGCAGTATATGTCCGCTTCGCGTGCGATATGTGCAATATATTATAAGTTAGGTGTTAGTCACATTTGGTGTTATATATATAATAGTATTAATTTTATCAATCATAATCATATCTAACAGAAAGCGTTCCCATTGCGCATTACGTCTTATATTTTTCATTATTGTTGTACTTGGATACGGACATCAACACTGTTTAGGGATAATTAGCTTTAAAAGTATGTAGGTAGGTACTGGTCATATAAAAAAGATTTAAATTGATCCTGACATATTTCTTTTCTGAATCATAAATTCAACTTATAAACATTTATATTATTTAATAAAAATTGAATAAAAGCGAGGAATTTTAGCATTAAATGAATGAGCATTTGAACTATTATGGTAAACTATAAAACAAGTGTTCTGATGGAGATATTTTGCTCAACATGGACACATTATACTGTGTATTTTATATACTATGACATGGACGTATGTAACAAGCACGTAAAATAAGTCAGCTCCCTTGTACGTACAGGGGATCACACAATTTACACCAATAATAAGTCTAGCGCCTGCCATTACGCAATAAACGTTGTCCGCGAGAAGTAGCTGTCGTAGATAAAAATAAAATTAATATGATGTCTTGTGTCGTTAAATTTTGCAAAAATGGTAATGGTTTTATCAAAAAATATCAAGGAATCACCTTTCATAGTTAAATCAGTAATTATAATCACTTTTTTTGAGAATTTTATCTTTCTTTAGTCACGTGATCAGTGTTGTTAATTATTTATAGGGAAAATTACCCGAAATTTGAGAAATTGCTATTTTTACCCACGTCAACACGAACACGTTATATATGTTTGTCATTGTGTGCTTTGTTAAAAATAGCATGGTAATCGCTATCATGCTGTTTTTAAATGTTATCATATTAATTCTAAAATAATATATTTTAAATTAATTTTATTTAAAAAAAATCCCGCTGAGTTTCTTGATGGTTCTTCCCAGGACAGTGGTTTTTTTCCGAACCAGTGGTAAAGCTTAAATGACTTTCAGTAAGTGTTCTTGTAATCTATATTGAATTAAAATGATTCTATCTATTCTAATAATTTTTGGATTCCCTAGTAATGGTAAAAAGAATCTAGATCATCATTAGTAATTAATTATCATCATCACGCCTTATATTTTATTAACGTTCATATTATGTAATGTAAACCATTTATCGGTTCTCTAACAAAGATTCGATTTCATAGGTTTTTGTTTACATATTTATAATATGTTTCGTTCCAATTATATAATACATTTTTTGTATAATATATACGTTTTTATTACACCCACGTGATCGAAATAGATTTATTCGATTTCAATCTAAACCTTAAATTCTTAGATTTTTTAATCGTCAAATGTGTTATTTATATTAGTTACGTAATAATAAATTAGTATTTCGTTAAAGTTGTGTTATATTTTGACAGATAGTTTTAATAATAAAAATGGGGAAATTTTGTTTCACGTGACAACCCTTTATAGCATGCAAACATACTTGCACCGCCGTCATTGCAGTGCATCAGTACTTTCTTAACAAAATTCCATGTTGCTCAAGTTGTTATGTTTGCTTAGTCGCTATGAGATATATACTGTCTGTGCATTGACTGTCTGCTGGCTAAAGCTACCGTCAAAATCTTCCAAAATTTCGAAAGATATTGTATTGTAAGCAATTTTGTGTGCAAAATACGCGTTACACTAAGGTCTATAATTGTATGATTGTCTATGACCTTTGCCTGCCTTAACTGCCCAACTGTAACAACAAACAAATTTACTTTTATTTTATTCACTGTGTATCATAAAAACTAATTTTAATAAAACGAAGGTTAAATTATTTAACAAGTTTGTTAACTGGTTACTACTGAATTGACAAGATTGCACATCTCACTACCGGGACGCACATGGGACACAGGTGAGGTTCTAAGTAGCAAACTAGAAATATTCGGATAACCACAACAAGAACAGACCGACTTTTACAAATTATTGTGAGAAGACCACCTAACATTATGGCTAGGCGATAGGTTTCTAAATTGCAATCGGAATACCAGTTACTCGCGAGTGACTACACGAAGTGTGAGGGAGAAACTGTCCGAAGTTAACCTTAATGCTCGTAAACCACTGCGGATTCCAACACTACGACGAGGCAAATGCAGACAAAGACTACAATTTCTTAGAACGATCTCCAGTGGTCTAATCTAGGGTATTATCCTCAGATGAACTCCATTTCGGTTTCTATCTAGATTCGAGATATATATATATATATATATATATATATATATATATATATATATATATATATATATATATATATATATGACATTTTCTAAAAATAAATCCTCCTAGCTAGGTCGATTTATTGCCCCCGAAACTCCCTGCAGGGTTTGTCTTTATTATATATATATATATATATATATACCTTTATAAAATCTGAACGTGAGGCCACCTGCAAAATCCCCAGGAACTCCATCCTTTTCGAAAGGGAACAATTATGGTAGAGACTGGAATAGGCCTTTGGTACAGAATTGACCTTATTATGATGATGTGTATATATGATGACATGCTAGAACCTATAGTCCAATCGCACCGGTTGCAAATGAATCACGATTTAATGACAGCATGATAGCCCAGCCACCTACGGTTCGACTCACCCGGTTCTAATCAAATTCCGGCTTTACGTAATTTTTCCCGAAAGTCTAGTGATAAAAGCACATCAATGTTATTTACCTTTTTTGAGAACGTCACGCAAAAGATTATATAAATTTTAAAATTTAAAAATAAATCTAGGTCATAATCATAAGATAAAAGAGACTTTATTCATCAATAAATTTTTCATATTTTTTTTGTTTTGCAATTGTATAACATATACTTAGAATAACAAATGAGAATTTCAATAGAAAGAAGTAACGTTTCGCCATTGTCTCGAAGTGTGGGATTGCAATTGAAGCTAAGTCACACTCGGCGGATCAGTCTAAATATACCGGCGCCCGCGCAGGCGCGCTCTCGCGTGCGCGTTGAACACAGATAAATAAAGATAAGATATATAAAAAGACCTGCAACAAAAATACAACTATGCGACGTAACAGGTGAGCTAAATAATTATTTATTATTTCCTTTTTTACTCGATCATTTTTTATTCTGCTACATACCAACAAAAATACAGTTTAGAAAAAAAATGTAAACATTTACATGTCGCATTACGTAGATAGTGATCGCGCTCGATACAGAATTATACAACTTCGTTTATAAGTCAGTAGGACATTGATTATAAAAAAAACTTGTACCTTATTAGATGAAATCCACATTAGGTGATACGTCGTCTCATTTATTTTATTTCTATTGAATGCATTGAAATCGTAAGTTACGTGCTTCTTATTTTTATTTATTTCACGATAGCTATCTCCGCGACGACTTTTACGGGAAACCAGGTTACCGGATACGAGAGTCAAGAGAGCTTATCCAGTGCCCGGTGGAGAGGTGCGACGGATCGGGTCATGTGTCTGGGAACTTCGCAACGCACCGCAGGCAAGCGATAATATTCGCGCACTCTCGCGAATATTCGCGTTTGCATTGCGATATACTTCGTGGCGCGGTTTCATGTCGTTTCGCGCCCCTGACGGCAATTTACCCGTTTCCGCACCCAACAATTTGACAGCGTAATCCAAGGTTTCTCTGTGCACTAACCGCATGACGAAATGTTGACGTGTAATTGTTCGAAGCATCGACTTAGTTTCCATGTTTAGAGTTTGAAATGTTAACATATTTTCAAGCAGCTTATTTATTCTTTCTAGCGAATATAATGCTGTATGAGATGTTATCTAACCATTGGGACAAAGACTATTGTTAAATACTCTTTCAATCCTTGTTCAATTTAAATTCAATTGAGGTAAAATAAACATATCATATATTATAGCATTTAAAGTAGGGTAAAACACCCAGTAGTCAGCCTTTTAGTGAGGACTAAAATTTGATTCAATTGTATTTTAAATATTGAACACTATGAACAAAAACAATCATTATTTTTAGAAAAGTTGTTTATTAAATTTACTAAAGAAATTAACAAAAAAGGTTATTTATAATAGAATTATATAAAAAATCAGTAGTAAACAAATTATGGCACTTTTCACCAGTAGTCAGCCTCATTTCTCCACAAGTCAGCCATGTCTTACCCTGTAGTCAGCCTCTCACTTATTCTTGCATATTTGAAATAAAAATTCTTTATTATATATATTTTCATATATTTCCCCAGCGAATCCAATACAGTTTAAATGATACCATGCAAGGCAATTGTCACATCCAATATTTTTAAGTCATTAATTTCTGTATCGCTAGTCAATTCTTCTTCACAGTTGTTGCATCTTATTCTGTTTATTGTACATGTATTTTTCTTCCTATTTTACTATTTTTCGTAGTCATAGCTTGTATTAATTGCTCTTCTTTGTATTGGTGGATTGGTCTTTTTGAGATTATGGAATTCTAAAACAATTCTAAAAAAAATGATATTCACGCTAAAATAACCGTGCATAAATTCAACCCAAACTAAAAGGCTTTAAGGTACTATTTTATGCAACAAGACTAACGGCTGAGTACTGGATTTGTAGACCCATTAGTCGGCCCCCGATATGCAATTACATTCGTACGCGGCCGACTACTGGTAAAATACACTTTTCGTCTCATAAGAGTTAAACCGAAAGTAATGGGCAAAATTGGGACTATTCGCTTCGGCAATCTCAACCACATATAAGAAAATCATGAAAAATCCAGTAGTCAGCCACTTAAGGCTGAGTACTGGATCTACCCTAAAAATTCGAAACCCGGTAGTCGGCCACCTAAATTACAACATATCAATCAAATAAAATGCATTTAATAGTTAACTTTATGACAGAATAATCATTTTAGTGTAAAACAGTACAAGAATCTACCATAAATTACAGCAAATACACCCAAAAACTTAACGAATACTCGAGCGCGTTTCCTTAAGAAAAAAATTGCAAAAGCGATGCGTCTAGTCGTGTCTTTGACAGCAGTGTAAATTAACAAGTATAGCTCACCAACCTGATGAGCTATTGGTTCGTAAGTGTGCATATTAACCAATAAGGAGACATGGATTCAATTAAACGTTATTTTAAAGGTGTAGACAAATGTCAGCACTATTTATAAGGAAATAATGTCTGTAAAGGCTGAGTACTGGCACAAGGCTGACTACCGGGTGTTTTACCCTAACTTCCAAAGCAAATACGTTTTTAACGATTTAACTATATCGTTTAATACATTTATACATGTATAACTTGTCATCATTCATAGGTATTCATAGGTAGTCTTAAAATAAAACAGTGATTCATCGCAATTTATAATTGTATGTTCACGTTAATGTGTTCAACAAACATATTTTTTGAACTTTATACAAATTTAACTAAGTTTACATTACATTATACAACTTTATAAAAATATATCTAACGAGTTATCGCGTAAAGTGTTTTACTTTAAAATACTAAATAAACGCCAGGCAATCACTTATAATGTTAAATTCTAAATCTAAAAATAATTATTTATTACAAGAAAAAAAAGAAAATTGTTTTTTAAGTATTTTAATCCATAGACGAAATTCTCAAATCATTCTTAAAAATCTTTTGATTCATGATAATATACAAAACATAAATGAAATTAGCATTCATGTCATATTTATAGAAACGCATTCTTGCTCTTATGTCTACATATGTGGCGCTCTCCTCCATGTATTTTTAATTCTTTTGATATGGAGTTATGTTAACTTATTTTGTAGACTAATAATAAAACTTAGTTGAAACCATAAATGTCACTTTTATTCGTAATTACTAAAAGTATACGCACGGTAGGTCGAACGTGATAATAATATATTATCATCGTTTTATACTTGGTCGAGGCATGCTGCAGCGAAATTACAGTTGTAGAAAGAGTGGGTCGGCTCGACCAAGAAACACCCACTCTCTCACAGAATACACGCGTAAAATAGCAGATTAACGCTGCTGTGTTTCGTATGGTGAGTGTAAAGAACAACCGGAGACTCGAAACGAGGTATTCCAAGTGAGTCCTCAGGAGTAACAACGCAATTTCATTTTGATTAATTATTATTAGTCGAGTATTAATATAGGCGTATATAGGTTACAGCGTCTACTTACTATCAGTTGCACTGAATAAAAATCACCAATACTACAACATAAGTCTCCCCCAAGGAAAGTCAGAAAACACGGTCCTGAGCTAGATGCACCAACGACTTCCTGTATCTCTTTCCAGGTCATTTTTCTATCTCTCCATCCAAATGATCCAAATATTATAATGTATAATTATATTAATCTCCAATCAAGATATAAATTGTCATGCAAGTTTTATATCTACATAATACATCTACTAACACAATGTTTTTAATTTTATTGCATTTTAACATAGCCTGAGTTTAATTGACACATTAAATATTGTGGTATTTAGTTTAATTTCCTAAGTTGGTTACTGTTTCGCTAAAACTTAGACTGATCATAGAGAAATTCCTGACTTAAGAGAAGACAATATAAAGCAAAGAAGTTTTAAATTTTGAGAATAAATATCAATTGGTATAACTTTTTATCTATTAACGATCCGACATATTGATTTGACTATCGCAAATGTGTAAATAACTAGAATTATTGTTGTTAAAGACTGTTTTTAAAGAATTTAAATCAAATTTTTATCCTGGTTTCGTAATTGTTTCTAAAACGGCAGCATGAAATGCGTCTAAGTACGGTCAGAATTGATCACTCTCTCACTGAATTATTAATTCACTTTCTACATACAATGTAAAACAAAAATATTTTTACCGGCCATGAATATTTCATTACCTTTTATTTTATCATCATCAAAACAGCCCTTCACATGTCCACAGCTGAACAAAAGCTACAAAGCACGGTCCTGAGCCACTTGTATCCATCGACATATTTTACCAGTTCGTCAATCCAACTAGTGGGGTCTAACACTTTGTTTATTTATTTACTTTTTATTAATTCGCTTATTTATTTACTCGTTATTAAATGTTTGCTGATTATTTATTGTGGTTTAGATTTACAATCCTTAATATAGAAACATTAACCTGATTATGAAGAAACTGTTTACTTGTTCTACTTCCCCGCCATCCATATTAATATTGATAAGTAAGTGAAAGTTCATACAAATGTTCGAATGTTTGCTCCTCATAAACGCATTAAACGCCTTAATGAAAGCATTTTACCACGGAAAATAAAAGTTACCACGAGAAAATCAACAAGATTGCACTTCTGTGTTCTAAGCCGCGGGCATAAGCCAGTTAGAAATAAAATAACTAAACTTGGAATTTACTCTTCACTATTCCTAAAGTGCGACACGTTGTATCGTCACGCCATTGTAAGCAGTTTGTATATGTGCAGTTTGTCCGGATGTCCGCGCGCCGACCGCTCACAACTACAGCCGCACTCGCAAGAACTCAAGTGTCCCACACCGGGGTGCGACGGCTCTGGTCATGTCACGGGCAATTATTCCTCTCATCGATCACTATCCGGATGCCCTAGAGCCAACAAGCCTAAGAGCAAGCCTAGAGATGGACAAGACTCTGAACCTCTCAGGTAAGCTATTGTCTTTTAATTTTGTAAATAAATGCATCCAAATGCGACTGTTATAGACTTACATAATACATAAACACTCACGCCTGTCACCCAGAGGAGTAGGCAGAAACTACAGGCTTCCATTTAGCACGATCCTGACATACCTCTCTCACTTCCTCCACATCCGTATACCTACGCATACATGCTCGTCGTTTAAGGGTACTCTTAATTTGGCCCATTTATAATATATCGCCAATTTGGTCGACAAACCTTCGCCTAGGACAGTCCTTTCCGACTCTTCCATGCACTTCTGCAACATATTGCTTTGTCAGTCTTTCCTCATCCATTCTTTCTACATGACCAAACCACCGAAGCATTCCTTTCTTAATCCTGGTTACAGCATCATCTTGCAACCCACACTCTTATTTTATCACACAGTTTCTCACCCTGTCACTCAGATTTATTATAGATTTATCCACATATAAGTATTTTAAGGGTACCCTTAACCCCGCTCCGTCCCATGGGTGTAGTAAGGACTCGACTATGGGAAATACCAATACAAATCTTGTCTTCCGAAAGATGACGGTATCACCACCTCGTTTACGCTAGACGTAAAATACGCAGATGTGCAAAAGACAGCGGCGTCACATATGTGAGACGTCTGGAACTACAATCATTAACTAGGCGGCCAAGTGTGACGATTAAGTCATATGCCACGAGCGAGGCCAATCCATATCCAGCAGCGGCCTTAAGCGGGCTGATGAAAAAGAAGGAGAACAACATGTAAACTTGAGGGACGACTGGGTATTTTAGTGATTACAGTGGCCAAGTGTTACAAGTTTCAAATCGAAGCCATTATTTGTGCTATTTTAGTATTAATAAGCCAAAGTTTATGTAACATGATAACTGACCAGTAATTACGTGTTTTTTTTAATACTGGATGGCCTTTTTACCATCTGGAAAAAAATAGGGTGTAATATGTGAACGGAGTAGAGTAAGGGTGAATGATGGTAGGTTTGTACGTATATCCTGGATGACCTTTTTTAGTCTGGAAAGGGGTATATGTGAACGGAGTACGAGAGCCTATGGCATTGATATTTTACAAAAAATTAAAACAAAAATTTGGAATTGAATTAATCACACCAACAAAAATTAGGGTGTAACACCCTAATTTTTTTTATACGTAAGAAAGGTCATCTAGTATATTTGGTCGATATGCTAAAATACCCAAAAAAAATGATGTGGCACGTTTTTCCATTTCTAAATGATCAAGTCAGATATGTCTGTCTACTGCAGATATTACTATTCTATAATATTAGGAATAGGTTTATAATTTTATTTAATTTTTAAATAATATTATAAGCCTATTCCTCGTTAATACTCACCCGTTCAACTTAGACTTTTAAAGAACTAAGTATTGACATAGAAATAGGTCCACACGCCTTTTGCAATACTGAAACATGATTTCGTTTCTCCTATACACAATATATCTTAATATGCAATCCCTTTACAAATAGTTTGTTGATTATTTACACGCTGCTTAGATGCCCTATACCGGGCTGTGACGGATCTGGACACGCTACAGGGAAATTCTTATCGCATCGAAGGTAAGGTCACGTGCAAACTACGTAGATGTAAAACTAAGTAGCGTATTGTTAAAGATCTAATAAAAAGTATAGTTATCTTTCACTAAACTAATCACATTTTTCAATTTATTAGCGCCTCCGGCTGTCCTATTGCGAATAGAAATAAAATGCGGGTGCTAGAAAGCGGTGGAACCGTGGAACAGCATAAAGCGGCTGTTGCAGCAGCGGCGTCGGCGATCAAATTCGACGGTGTCAACTGTCCGACACCCGGCTGCGATGGTTCAGGACACATCAACGGCTCGTTTCTAACACATCGCTCCCTTTCCGGTTGTCCTGTGGCGGGTTCCGCTACGCCCACACCTCAGCCGAAAAAACCCAAATACCCAGACGATATCACGCCATTATATCCGAAACCGTATTCAGGTAACTCAACAACAATAGACCACGCAGACGAGTACATTTAATAATTTGCATGTGCAAATATTTAATTTAAGTATTTACCGATTGCAGGCATGGAAATGAACATGCAGACTGGCAACGGGGAAGACCTTATGACCCTTGAGCAAGAAATAACGGAACTGCAACGAGAGAATGCTCGCGTCGAATCACAGATGATTCGCCTCAAATCAGACATCAACGCCATGGAAACGCACCTCAGTCATGGGGAAAGAGTGAGTTCTTATGAAATTAATTGGGAGACAGGGCTCTATCAATGAAACTTTACCTTCTTTTTTAATATTTCAATTATCAAAAATTTCGTAGATGGTACTGTCATGGCTCCAAACATCCAGCTTTGAGTGCTACTAACATCTTGCAAACATTAGTGAGTACCATAATAACTATTCGATCGAACCCTCTGACAAACTACACAAAATCTTACTCATTAACTCATGTCAAGACGATGTAAAGAAAAATCTCTCTTTCATTGCAGGAGAACCAGCTCATATCTCAGCGCAATAACAACCTGAACGAATATTACGAAAGCTTGCGTAACAACGTTATAACCTTACTGGAGCATGTCCGAATTCCTGGAGGGGGGACCGTTCCTGTAACGAACGCTGGAGGAACACCCGGGGCCCCACCTCCTGTAGGTCCAGGAGAGAAGCCTGCCCATGATAATTTCGACTCCTATCTCACAAAACTGCAAACCCTTTGCTCGCCCGATGGTTATTGCCCCGACGAAAATCGACCCATATATGAAACGGTGAAAAATGCGCTCCAGGACTTCACAGTACTACCGACACCCATTTAAGGTTCATCAAGCACCGCCGAGAGTGACCGACAGTGAAACATTTGGCCAACACCGATTGTGATCGGCGGAGCTTTTAAGTGAACACGACTGAAAGACTTAGTGCAGTGGTTGTTGTCCTTTCGCGAAAGCACGTAGGGTATCATTCCAAGAGTTAATTACCAAAGATTAAAAAACTGTAATATCAAATCGGTTAAATACAGTGAACAATGTGTATGAAACTTTGTATAGTGTGTTTGAACGTATCGAATTTTTTCGGACTATGTGTTCTGTTTAGGTAATGATGTTTTATATAAACCGTTGTATACGATGTGTGACTTCTCTTCGACATCACAAAACATTCGAAATTTGTTTGAATATTAAAGATCTAAACAAGGACTTAATATAAGACTTAAATAAAATTTAAACACTGTTACTCGTATATACTTAAAATTAACTATTCGTTAGGAAAAGTTTATACTATTGCATATAAGTGATTTAGCCCCCACAAAAACAATGACTACCAGATTTCGAGTATGTAAATATTGTACCTAATTTCGATACGATAGAAATTATAATTGTCGAGGGGTTACTATAACAGTGGTTGGAGACTAATCACATAATGAATTTGTTTTAACAAAAAGAAGAAATTAATAGTGTTTAAGAAGATATGTTAACAAACCTTTACGTTCTAATACTGGGAATGTGCCAAACGCTTCAGTCACAGCAACTCCCCGCTGGTATATTATTGATTGAGCTACCGAGATAGAAATAAAAACAAACGAAATTAATAAACTCCTTAGAGTAATCTCTAGTCAGTTTTGTAAATAAAATTGTGAATATAAAGTTGTCACGTCAATACGGACGTTTTTATTTATATTAGGTAATAATGAAATCTCATTAGGTCAAGTAAGATAAATAATTCAGTCATTAATTGATAACCAATTTTAGATGTAAATGAAAACTTTCTTTGTTAGCCAAGTTACAATTCACTGTGATTATGTTACGTGTTACAACTTATTTATTGTTACCTTTACGAATGTGATAGCTTAATCGTGGCGAGTTAGTGTTAATTTGCAATGTTTAGTTAACGCGCTTTACACAAAATGTGTGCAATAATTGTTTGAAACCTAGGTATTTGAAAAAGTTTTGTTGTGTCAAAATAAATGAAAACTTAAAAGTTCTATCTTCAAATCACATTGGTACACGAATCGGAATTTATATTCGCATTTAAATACTAAACCTATTAAATATGTTATTACTCTGATTATCATATACGTTTCTGTAAAATATTGAGTATGTGTTGTTAAAGAGAATAAAAATAATAAATAACAAGATTATCGTATTACGTTTTATTTTACATACATATCATATCATCAAACATAAACACTCACGCCTGTCACCCAGAGGTGTAGGTAGGCTGACTTCCATTTGGCACGATCATGACAGACCTCTTTCGCCTCCTGCACATCTATATATGGTCCATTTTCAATATATCGCCAATTTGGTCGATAAACTTTCGCCTAGGACGTCCCTTTCCGACTCTTCCATTCACTTCTGCAAGATCAATTTGCTTTGTCCCTCTTTTCTCATTCATTATTTCTACATGACCAAACTACGGAAGCATTCCTTTTTTAATCCTGATCACACCATCATCTTGCAAACTACCCTTTTATCATACAATTTCTCACCCTGTTACGCAGATTCAGCCCTAACATACTCATTAACGCCCGCATTTTGACTGCATTTATTCTACTCTCGTGCTTCTTCTGCCACACCCAACTCTCACTACCATACGTCAAAGCAGGGATTAACACAGCATTGTGAATTGCCATACGTACCTCTTCCGACACATTCTGACTTGTCACAATAAAGTGTAAAGCCCCATTTACTTTATTTCCTCCGTTCACTCGTCATTCTATATCCCCCATCCCTGCTGAATACACATCCCAAATATACAAACTCATCTACTTGCTCGACCAACTCCTCTCCTATTCTTATTTCAAAACGATATGTTTTACTTTCTTCTTTTTCAAAAATCATAACTTTCTTTCTGTGAGTGTGTGAGTTTCAGTTGCGTTCACTTTCATAACGATTTCTTTTAAAAACATGTTTATTAATGTAACCATCATTTGGAACTCGGGCGCCGACGACGCAAAAATACCTAACTTGATCATCGGCGTACAAAATTCATTTGACGGTTAACTCAAACATTCTTAATCCGCATTCTTCAACTTTCAAATTTTCGAAACAACTGTCCATAAATAGGTTGAACAGACACAGGGAAGCCACACAGACCTGTCTGATACCTTTATGGATGCCAAACCAGTCCGAGTAGACCCCGTTGATCCTTACATAAGCACTAGAGTCCCTATAAAGAGACTTTAGTGCCTGCATCAACCAACCCAAATGCCTTCAGTCCACTCTGTCATGAGTCTTTTCCAAGTCCATGAACGCACAAAAAACTCTTTGGTTTTTGGCCAGAAACTTCTCCACGATCACGCGCATGGAAAAGACTTGATCTGTACATCTAATTTCCTTTCTAAATCCCCCTTGCACATCCCAAATTTTTCCATCGGTTTCTTTCTTGACCCTTTCAATTAGTACCTTAGCATATAGTTTTCCCACAATGCTAAAAAGACTGATACCACGGTAGTTTTTACAGTCCTGCTGCGACTCTTTTCGTTTATATATTGGGACTATCACGGCTTTTTATCAGTCTTCCGATGCCCGCTTCAGTTCCCAATATAAATTAAACAAGGTGTACAGTAGGCCTGCCACCACTTCCTCTCCAGCCCTTAGCATTTCGAGAGAAGCTCTATTCTATCCGGCTACCTTTTCTGCTGTCATGCCTTTCGGTGCTTTCTTTATTTCATCTATACTTATCTCACTACTTCATTCCTCTTCTTTCGGAATTTCTGTCTCATTTAATTTATACGTCGTCTCCTCACTCATAAACATGCTTTCAAAATATTCCTTCCATCTTCTTAAACTCGAAACTTCGTCGCTCAGAATAATTCCGTTCTCGTCTCCTATAGCATTAATTTTTGGCTTTTTTTTTTGAATTTCCCCTGGCAGTTCTTACGAGTTTCCAGAACATTTTAATATTTGCCTGGAAGTTTTCCGATATTCTTCTATCATTCTTATCCGTTTTTTCTTGCTTTTTCCCTTCAAATACTTCTCTTTCTTTCTTATTTAAATGTCTAAAGATTGCTTTTTTTTCTTTCAATATCATTATTCGTACCGTCAGAATTACCAGCCTTTGTTGCCAATAAATCTAGCCATGCTCTCTTCTTTGCTTCAACTTCCATACGTACTTCATCATCCCACCATAGCGTATTATTTTTCCTTTCATTCGTTCTTTTACTAACACCACATACTTCGGTAGCTGCATCCACCTAAACCTTTCTAAACATTTTGCCATACATTCTCCAAGTTTAACTCATTCATGCACAATTCATCCAAACCACTTATATTTTCTTGCAGTCTTCATCTTGTAACCTTCCTGTTCTAATACGCTGTAACGCGGTGGTAGACACAGATGTCCGATGGCGCCAACATCTGAATATACCGTTAATTCGGCATAAAAGCAAATAATGATCCGTCCCTACGTTGGACCCCCGGTAAACCCTTGTATCTACCACTGCGCTTTTCAATCTTTCATCCACAATTATGAAATCTATCATGCTTTTATCATCACCTCTTTACCAAGTATACATGTGAATTTTTTATGATGAAAAAAGGTGTTCGTCACAAAATGATTCTTTGCCCCACATACGATAGGAGGCATTCACCATTCTCATTTATAATTTCATCGCCAAATGTTCCCAGTATCCTTTCATAACTAAGCCTTTTCACCCCGACCCTTTTATTAAAATCTCCTAGCATAATAATATTTATCATTTCCCTTACACTTCATTAATACCATCCTTACCATCTCCCAAAACTGCTTTCGGATATAAGTGGACTTAGACATGTCTGGGGTATAGACCCCTAGCACAAACAACTTTTCGCCTACTTTGTGCCTACTTTAAGCCTACTTTCAATCGTATCCATAGCAGTCTCGGGCTTACACATTCATACTCTTTCACACGGTGACCCATTCTTTCTGAAAGGATGATATTACAACTCCAGTATTATAGCAACCGCAACCAGCACTTTATTGAGGGTTTTTAAATATTTTAAAAAGAATCCGAATTAAGCAACGCTCACGTTTTTATTTTTCTGTTAATTTGTTTCCTCACCCTCCGACTCCGACCTTATGTTTATGTCGCAGCCAACCAGCTTAATTAGGCTTAGTTAACAGACTAACCTTTTTACTAAAGGGCGCCGTTCAGCTAGCGGCCTGAATGATATTCAGCCGATGCGTTTAATGCTGTCATTTAATAATATATTATAATATCAGCGACATTAGTTACATAAATGTAAAATAGCACATAGCGCATATATACATATGGCATGGTCACTATTTCTTTCAACGAGACGGTCCCTTGTCTTTGAGTTAAACTGCGCCGTTTAATAAAAAGACTAACTGGCTGTGACATATGGTCGATATCGATATAATTACTTCATCGAGAGTCCTTTCTAACACTGAATATTTGTATCAGTTTTGTAAACGAAAAAGAAGCCTGACGTGTGTCGACTGTCCCATGTTGGTCTGGGACTTATCGTACCTAACTCTAACAACAAAGAATGTACTATTTGAGTTACTTGCTTAGCACGTCATTAAAGGAGATTAATAGGATCGTTTCTTTCACCATTTGCCATTTAAATGTATTTTAGCTACACGTGGTTCGAGTAGCTCGTTGCTCAGTGAACTCTACCTGATTTTTTTAAAACATTGCTGAGTACCAGAACAAACTTGTGTCAGAAGTACGAGTCTTTACTGAACAAAGTCGGTGGCGACTAAATCTAGTCCAGTTCACTCCCCAGAAGACACAAGTTTGTGCGTTTACCGTTTAAAAGAACGTTTCTCCTCTTTTGTCGTATCTCCTCAATTTCAACGCACTCCCCTTGTTGCCTCAACTAGTATCGGAATCCTTGGCGTCGACATATCGAGTGACGCTTTCGTGGTCACTTGGAGAAGAAGGCCAAATTTGTATCTAAAAAGCTTGACGTACTCAGCAGAGCGGGACAGTATTTCATGCCTGCACAACACCTGAAACTTAAAAACGAGCAGGTTTGGCCTCACATGGAATACTGATGCCATCCTTGGGCCGGGGCTCCTCAATGCCAGCTCCTTCCAATTGACCGCATCCAGCGCAGAGCGGCTCCAATCGTCGATAACGAGGTCCTCTCCGATCGGCTCGATTCACTGGTGCTGCGAAGAGATGTTGTATGCCTTTGCATCATCTATCGCATCTACCACGGCAAGTGCTCTGAGGAATTATTCGTATTAATTCCAGCCACCGAATTTCACGAACGAACGTCGCGACAAAACTCGCGATACCATCCACACCATCTGGATTCTTGGCGGTCCACCGTTGTACGTTTTACTAGTAGTTTTCTTCCTCATACGACCCCTCTGTGAATAGCTCACCACCGGTGATTTTTCCAAACCGATATGACTTAGGGACCTTCAAGAAAGGAGCTTAATCCTTTCTAAAAGACCGGCAATTCACCTGCAATTCCCTTGGTGTTGCAGTTGTTCACGGGTGGCAGTAGTCACTTACCATCAGGTGAGCCGCATGTTTGATTGCCCCCTCTTCTATAAAAAAGAAGGTTAAAATGAAGTTAAATCTTTTAATTACCATATCATACTATATCACTGCCCAAAGATGTTTTATAGGTACAGATACCGTGTACGCGCGCCTAAAACGCTTCCATTTAAAAGGCGCCAATATTGGCGTATTCGTTCGATCGTTCCGCCATTACGCCAGCGACGTTCACTGCGAACGTACATCACGCACCAGTGTTTTTAATTTCACAAAATGACTGTTTGTGCTATGAAATCATGTAAAAATTACTCTTGAAAAAAAGATAAGGATAAGAACATCACTTTTCATAAGTAAATATACAATTTTCTGGTGTATTTCTTGATAAAATAATACGAAAGCTGAATGTCAATGCAAGTAATAATACTGCGCAATAATATTCGAGTGTTGCCTACCGTATGAAATGTTTTTCCATATTTGAATCTCATTAATAGATGTAAAGCAACTATTGACAACGGATATTTATCCAAAGCAGCCGATACGCAACCGTTGTTTGATAAACTGGATCGATATATGAATTTAATAAAAACATTTGCTATCTCTTGGCCGAAGTTAACTTTTACGGTTACACTTAACCAAACTTACTTTTGTACGTCATTTTACTTAAGATTAAAAAATAATTAATGTCTTCATAAAAAGCGACAATATTTTGGGTTCTAAGATACGAAAGTGTAGTACTCTATATATATTCAATAATAATAGATTAGTTCAATATATGTTAGATACATAAATATCTACTGTGATTTTTATTTATTTTTAACTGCTATTTATTTTTATTACTTATCTTCACTATTTTAGTGCGATTTTCGTACCTACATAAAACACATATAATCACCCATATCACTTGTGTATGTATATCCCCATTCACATTCGGACACAAATGCACACGCCTCGCACACACATTTTACACTCAGGTATGTCAATATAAATGAAATATAAAATCTCCCAAATTTTTGGGCAATCGATTTGCACTATTATTACCGAAGTCACGCACACTAATGCAGGCATGGTACGTAAGATATGCGCGTCACGTGGTACTCACGCACACATGAATCAAAGACTGGCGTCACTGTGAACGGTGCGATGTGTTAGCAACACGGTATCTGTACCTATAAAACATCTTTGATCACTGCCACTCAATAGAGATTTCGAGAAGCGTTGTAAAACAAATTAGTAACAAAAAATCATGTGAATCTGAAACCGACCAGATATATTACACAGAAGACTGTGGAGTATTTCTAATCTTCATTCTTAATCTGTCATTATAACTGGCGTATAAGGACTAAACAGGACTAATCGACGGGAAAGAAATTTTCTCAAATGGCATCCTTGGACCGATAAAACAAGTAAAGGTAAGTCTCCCACTAAATGGAGTGACGACCTGATGAGACAAGTGAGTAGTCGATGGGAACAGGTGACTCAAGATCGCACTTTGTAGCAATCTTTGGTGGAGACCTCTGTTTAGCAGTAGACTTCTGATGGGCTATAATTACCGACGACCATAAATGATGATGTTGACAAAAATAATTCATCTGAAAAAAAAGGTTTAATTTTAATTAGCATTTGATTAAATTCTTGTTAATTTATTAATAGTAAAAGTAGACCTGTGCTTGACCTGCGGCCTCACATCTCAGGGGTACCCCGTTTAGAGCTGGGGTGGCACCAGAAGTGGCTGAACTGAGTACGTGGCGCAAATATGAGTCTCTGAGAGATGACTACATATTTGTGCCATTTGCTGTAGAGACTATCGATCCGTGGGGTCTACGTGCGGTAAAGTCCCTAACGGAACTCTATCCGTGACTGGTCGTTGCTGCTGGTTATAAGACGGATGGTTCTTTACTCGCCAAAGCTGAAGTATAGCCATTAAGCGAGGAAGCGCAGCCAGTGTTTTTGGCACGATGCCACGGGGAGTAGGACTAATAATTAAGTTATTAATTATTACTTTTTATTTTAGTATAATTCAATGTTATACATAATAGTCATTTATATTATGTGGATTTATTGATTATTTACAAAGAAACCTAATATTTTGATACATATTACGTAATAATAAAGGTAACCAATTATTAATAAACATATGAGTTTCTTTCGTAGGTAATAAAACAATTGTTTTGTGAAACATTTAAGGATTATGAGAGCAGGGTCGCTTTTGGTTAAGGTAAAAGCGTCAGGGTAGCCCGCGAAATTCTAATTTTCCTACGTTTTGCAATTCGCAGGTCAGTGTAAGATTGTATGTGTAAGAAAATATGATTCGCGACCGTAAAAAGTATGTGTTTACAGAATTATTATCATTAAAATCACCAATACAGCCCTCTAAGTTCATATAATCCCTTTGAACGGGTTTTTCTGGAAATAGCCATAAAATAGGCTACCCTAGCGCTTTCACTTTAATAATTTTTTATCGTATTATAACATGAAGGTTAGAGAATAGGAGAACGATCACTACGTACTAAAGCATAGCCCGCCTGTCCTTGAAAATTGTAGAATTTATAGCGGCGCTGACGTCGGTGAGTAGTGACTGCGAAGTTAGCTGTTTATGAGTACAAGTAGATGAAGTTAGTTGAATAATGTACAAATTTTCTCCGCGGCATTGGTGAGAATATTTTCATGCTCCATAATTTTGTGATTTTTGGCAAAAAGGAACATTAAAAAATGGAGAAATATTTTATTGTGCGTAGATGTGCAAGTGGTTTACCATCTGATCGGAAAAATAGACTAAAAATGATTTTTATTGACCGAACTTAGCGATCGCAGCGCCTCACTTATGGTGTCCTTCTTTTATACTTATGGTGTGCTTCTTTGACACTATTTTCTACGGCGATCTTCTCGTGTTCTCTAACCTTCATGGTTTTAGAATTTGAATCTGGTAGAGAGCTAGTTTAACTGTTGGCTATACGTATATAATACGTAGTGTGGCCTAAAGGCCAAAATACCAGGCCATAAACTCCAAAAAAAAATACGTAGTATTACCATTACCAAATAAAAAAGTGACATGTGAGTGTGACAACTGACTGACAACAACAACAACAATCTTAGAACATGTGCTTATGTTGATTTTTATTATATAAATAAAGTTAATATTAAAGCAAGTAAATAATGAAAGTACCTAAAAAGGTATTTAAAAAAGTGCATGCATCTATAATGTACCTTTGAACAAATATCAATATATTTAAAAAAGTCTAATTATTTGAAACAATTGCTATTTTTCAGAAACGCTATTTCCAAAATAAAAATGATGAAAATCAAGTTAATTCAGATAAAAGTGCTGACGTTGAAGTTTATAATGTTAAAATAACACCACGCATTTTAAAAAATCAGAAATACAAGGTAAGTACCTAATTTCATTGAATGAAAATGCTAACACAAAATTTGGAAGCACCTTGCGAAGGGTGAGAAGAAATGGAAGGGGGAAGAGAATAATCACTATTATAGAATCGAAGTGCGGAGGAGCGTGTTAATATTTAAGGTTATATCTCCAAAAAATCTTTCAAATCAAAGCAGAAATTGTGGAACAATAGAAGTAGGGAAAAATCTCTCGCAAAGAAAATAAAAGTTTAAAGAACAAAATGTGCAGTCTGTCACCAGTGGCTGCAATGACAGAATAGATAATTAAGGACAGATTAGACACTTTCAATTATTCAAATGTTATTCACCTTAACCTACAAGAAACCAGTTGCAGCTTTTGTTTAAGCTAAAAGTTTTTCACATTCTGAGAACTGCTATAGAAGGTAACTTAGAATGTGAATACAAAATGTGATAATTGACACTTAAATTAATTTACAGCAGGTAATGCCAAAAAACTATAATTTATGAGTACAAATAACAACAAAGATTATGGTTACATAGTCAGTATGTTGTTTACTTCACTGCAATCACAGTACATTATTATTCCTAGCAGAGACTATGAGTGCCTACTTATCCATCTGATTATTAGCACAGAATAAATAATAGACTATGTACAGAAGTTGCACTCCTTTGATGTCGACTGCTTGCCGATGTTTAATAGCCTACATAATTATTATTAATCAGATAAATCGCGCACGCAAGCCAAATAAAACTTTATCGCTGCGCATTGGTGTCCATATTAATTTGCATCTTTTCTGCTCCCTAAGTCACGGCGGACTTTCCATGGTTATTAAGGGATGTCAATAGAAACTAAAAAAATACATTGTGAAATGTTACTTAGGTGAAGTACCTATTCTGACTATGATCAACTGACCATACTTTCGCCCCTATGTGAGTTCTGCGATGCCTAATGCATGCAAATTGCAAGGTCATTCGTTGGGAATCGCAACACTTGGTTCGGAAAACATAGGTAGATAGTGTAAACAACAAATAAATCTGAAATACTATTCCTAACAGAAATGTGATCTATTCTACTTAGTTAAAAATCTTGTTAGTATACAAAGTTTTAATTTCAGTATTTTGTGTTATCATAACTTAAAATATTTTAATTACAAAAGACAAGTATAGGTATGTAAGTAAATACTTACATAGTGAAGTAAATTTTAACAAATTTTTGTGATAAAGTACTTAGGTATTTCTTCTCTAGACCAAATTATTACTTAATTCTTTTTGCTGTAAGTACATATCCAACAAAAAAAATTAAATAAATTGACCTTTTCATAACTTCCTTCTAAAATTCTTCAGTAACTTAAAGATTGATGAATTCTTTTGTTGGTCATTTCATTTCATGCACACAACAGTTATAGTAGGAACGACATTTTGCTATTATAATTTATCAAATAATAATTTTTAAAATACGTTATAACTTTTACAACTATTTTTACCTACAATTAAATATACTAAACACAAAACAAAAACTATTTCAACAAGTATTTATATAAAACTATTTACGTAAACAGCGTGTAAAACTTTAACATTGAATCGCCTACATCACGCTAGCCCCGATTGCGTATAACGCCCAGGACGCCTCGCGATTTTAGGTAATTATTTCACGCAGGTAGCAAGAGTGACAGAGGTCTGCTATTAGCTTGTAGCAGAATAACTTTTTCCATATATTAAAACTGAATTTGTGCATTTTACATCTATGTTACATCTTTACTAACCCTTTCTACCATTTAAATAGCAACACAATAATTGAGGTTGCACTTGCAGTTTCTAAAGTTAAGCCAAAAACCTTATTATTATAGTATTTGTATGTTATATCAGACTTTTTGCTCTTTTTCATCAGCCCATAAAATTCTAGTTCTGGATGTACCTCTGTACCTTTTCTAATAATAGGAAAAATGTGTTTTAATTACCATTCTTGGCAAGCAGATTGAGGAGTGTATATCACATGTCTGACACCTTTGATGCAGCTTCCTCAAGTCTGGTGTAAATGAAATATTAGACTGCCATATATAGCAATGAGTTTAATCTGTGATTCATACAGTTGCCACTTATGAGTCTCAAGGGGCATAATGGTGTGATCATTTCAAAATTATTGATAACTGTATGCTGCTACCACACAGATAAAACATTTACAACTTTTTTATTAACAGTTCTAAAATATAGTCAAATTTTGTTTATTTAAAAGGAAATTCACAATTTCGCTTAATTTACTTTAAATATTAATGTGTGGATTCTTTTATTTTTTTTTATATTTTATTTTTTGAACTAGTATACTCTAGTTAATATTTGTATAAAATTTTAAATCTAAATCATAAACAATTTCAAACAAGGTAAACATAAGCAATATGCAGTGACGTTTTATACAACATATGCATGAATTACTAAAGTTATCAGTTTTTTTATACCTTTCATTTTTTATATGGCTTTTAACGAATAGTGTATGTATTGTGTATGTGTATATATTGAATGCCTTAAGCACAAAGTGGATATGTATGTTCTACTAGCGGCTAAAAATCAAGAAATGAAATCGTATCTAAGAATCATATTGAACATATAAAAAGCACGTTGTCAGAAGGATAAATGATTGTTGAAGTTATACATTTTTTTAATCGATTAATTGCTATTTTTACATTAAAAAAGTGGTTCTAATGGCGAAGATTTATCAAGTAAACTATCAATTGTTAAACTCAATCTATTTTTTAATCTCTTCACCTATCATGTGGGAAACCATGGAATGTAAAGGGCAGTTTATTTTTGTTTTGTAAACAGAACTAACTAAAGTTATAATAAATTTTTTTCGGCTGAGAAATTCGTAATTTTTGGTGGTTCGACCAGCCCTTTAGTAATATATTTTACTAAATACACTTTGACTCATTCCGAGCTCGGCTGCCGTCGTGAGTGGATTACTTTATCGTTTGTTTACAGCAGCTCATGATAAAAAATATTGATCGCTGTGGAAATACAAAACATTCCAAAAACCAAATTTGTTACATACTTGACCAAGGTAAGATATTATTATTATTTTTATAATCACAGATTTTTATTACAATATATTATTGCGCTAAAAGTATGTAGGATTTATATATAAGATATATACTTATATGTCTTGGAATTTATGAACCACCTTCAGGTCATACTTCGGTACCTGCTACTGGAAATCCTTGACGAGTTGAACTAGGTGTGCCGAGATTGTGATCATAATGTTAGTTATCATCAGACCTTACTTGACGGAGTGACCTGAAGGTATACTTCGGTGAATGCAACTGGAACTCCTCGAAGAGTAGCTGAGTTTGAGCTCGTTTTTTAGTTACGATGAGATCTTACCTCCGGACAATGGCGCATTATCCTTAAGGCAAACTAGGCTCGTGCCGAGGGGCACAAGGTTAAAAAGTGGCGCGCGCGGAAGTTTTTAAACGAAAAAATCGAATAGAACTACGAAGATAAGGTTATTAGTTAAAACTTGTGTGTATTTAAAATACTTTAAAAAATTGACATATAACATAAGCGCCTAAGGCATTTGGATTTACCAAAAATTATTTTCAATTTATATTTACCATTTGTTTTATTTACTGGATGGGCTTTTTAACTACAGAGGTTGCGAATTGCCATTCTTGCCAGACCGGTTTCCACTGTCAGTAATAGGCTAGTATTTTGTACTTATGACTTCTTATTGGCAATCTCAGTAAAACCTGGCAATGAACACAATAACCGGCCATCTCCGATATGTGAAAAATTGCCGAGGGTTCTTACAAAAGAATTCCATCTTGAAATCACTGTTAAGCATAAGCCTCCCTCACACAATGCCACAAAGAAAGGTCCTGAAGCTTATGCGTTTATCAACTTGCTGCATCTCTTACCAATTTGTCACTCATTCTATCTATATATATTCTATTGATCGCCTTATAGCATCATTCTGAGTCAACTGCATCTGTTGACTTATTGCACAGATCTACTAAATGGAGAAATAATCTTAACAAAGGTTTTAATGTTGCTTCTCCATTTAGTGCAAATTCACCTACATGGCCTAAGGCTGCTAGTAAGCCTTAGAATCTTGAAATATTTATAATTTACTATGAAATAAATATCTATATCCATAGCTGACATTTTAGGAAGTCAAAAACATTGAAAAGGTCTTAAGAAAAAAACAAAAAGGAAAATTTCCTGGTAAAGCACCAATTGACCCAAAAACATTGGAACGCTATTCTAGAGGTGAAGGACTTGAGGGAGAAGTGTTAACCCATCCACTACACGCATTAAAATTGCAAAAGAAAGAAAGAAAGTTCAATTATGCACAAGAGCAATCTGCTAGAGCAGAAATTTTACTGCCTGAAGATCAAGGGTAATCAGATAATTTATCTTATTTATACATATTTTGTAATGTTTTTTTCTTAATTAAAAAACAATATAGCATATTAAACTTGCTTTCCAATATACCATATTGGAAATTAAGCTTATATTTACTGCTTTTTTTAATAGTGACAAATGAACTAACAGTCTACCTGTTTGTAAATGGATGCCGTCAGACAACTGCATCCAACTTTGAACACGCTAGTAATAAATTTAAATAATACTAGTTTTTACGGATTTTATCGCGTATATTTAATTTTTAATACCCGACGTTTCGAGCACTTTACAGCACCCATGGTCACGGGGGAGATGTACATGTATCTATGGTAACTGCGGTTAACTATGAAATCTAAACGTTCAACATCTCAGTCTCCCTGGTGACCATGCGTTCTGTAAAGTGCTCGAAACGTCGGGTATTAAAAAGTAAAATATACGCGATATAATCCATAAAAACTAGTATTATTTAAATGTGTAGTGTTCGCGTAATTATAAGAAAGCTATTATTAATTTTGACAAAACAAAAAAAAACTTGTAACAAAATAAAAAATGTTTACTTATATTCCAGGTTAATAGAAGTAGAAGAAGGTGGAAAAACAACCGCTGTATCACAGAAAATTATAGCTGAAAATGTGGATATTGCAGCTGCCACAAAAATTTTTGAACTCAATCTTGACTTTGGACCATATAGAGCGAAATATTCACGCAATGGTAGACATCTGCTTTTGGGAAGTAAAAAAGGCCATCTTGCTGCTTTTGATTGGGTTACAAAAAAACTGCATTGTGAAATCAATGTTATGGAATCCATTCATGATATAAGGTATATAATAATTTATATTAAATTATCAAAATAGATAATATGTAGCATGTTTAATAATTGTATTTAATTTTACTGCCTTACTTCACATTAAGTGGAACATAGAATTACGCACCGGGCACATAGTTCTACCCTTTCCGGTAGGTGGTGAGATGAGCTTCACTCGAAATTCACGATATTATTAACATAATATATGTATATTATGTTAATATAATCGGTGTGAGTGCTCCATGCCGGAAGTGCAGTTCGCAAAGCACTCCTCTCCCTGGACATCCACAAGTCGAGTGGGCCTGACGGAATCCCCCCAATTGTGCTGAGGACGTGTGCTTGGCACCGGTTTTAACGCGTCTTTTCCGGTACTCCTACTCCCTAGGCGTAGTCCCAAAATCATGGAAGACGGCTCTCGTCCACCCGATCCCTAAAAAAGGCGACCGCTCAGACCCGTCCAACTACCGGCCTATCGCCATCACTTCCTTGTTCTACAAAACAATGGAGTCCATTGTAAACTGCCAGCTCATGAGGTACCTTGAGGATCACCAGCTGATTAGTGACCGCCAATACGGTTTTCGCCGTGGTCGGTCAGCTGGTGATCTTCTGGTCTACCTAACTCACAGATGGGCGGAGGCAGTAGAGTCCAAGGAGGAGGCATTGGCCGTTAGTTTGGACATTGCGAAGGCCTTCGATCGGGTTTGGCACAAAGCGCTTCTTTCGAAGCTCCCTTCCTATGGGCTTCCCGAGAAATTGTGCGATTGGATCACCAGCTTTCTTGCAGATCGGGGCATCAAGGTCGTTGTAGAATGTGCAAAGCTCCGATTGCAAGCCTATTAATGCTGGTGTTCCACAAGGCTGCGTGCTATCGCCAACGCTGTTTCTTCTGCATATCAATGATATGTTGCAAACCCGTAACATTCATTGCTATGCAGATGACAGCACTGGTGATGCTCTTTAGACCGGCTGAGCCAATATTTCTCGGGAAAACGTCTCCGAGTGCCGGGACAAACTTGTGTCTGAAGTCGAGTCTTTGCTGAACAGAGTCTCGGGGCGATCGGAATCCTCGGCGTCGATATATCAAGTGACGTGCAGTTTCGTGGTCACTTGGAAGAGAAGGCCAAATTGGCCTCTAAAAAGCTTGGCGTGCTCAGCAGAGCGTAACAGTATTTAATGCCGGCACACCGCCTGCAACTTTACAAGGCGCAGGTTCGGCCGCACATGGAATACTGTTCCCATCTCTGGGCTGGGGCTCCCCTGTACCAGCTCCTTCCACTTGACCGCATCCAGCGCAGAGCGGCTCGAATCGTCGACGACCGAGTGCTTTCCGATCGGCTCGATTCACTGGCACAGAGCTGCTGGCTGGCACAAGAGATGTTGCATCTCTTTGCATTTTCTTTCGCATATACCATGGAGAGTGCTCTGAGGAATTGTTCGGATTATTCCCAGCCGCCAAATTTCGTGAACGTACTACGCGGCAAACGTCCCGATACCATCCACACCATCTGGATGCTTGGCGGTCCACCACTGTACGTTTCAAGAGGAGTTTTCTTCCGCGTTCCGCGTAGAATAGTTTACCACCGGCGATTTTTCCGGACCGATACGACCTGGGGACCTTCAAGAAAAGAGCGTACTCCTTTCTAAAGGGCCGGCAACGCACCTGCAATTCCCCTGGTGTTGCGGTTGATCATGGGCGGCGGTAGTCACTTAACATCAGGTGAGCCGCATGCTCGTTTGCCCCCTCTTCTATAAAAAAAAATGTAGATACATAAACAATCATGCCACCCATAGTTGTAGGCAGAGACTAGGTACGGACTTTCATTTAGCACAATCCTGACACACCTTTCTTGCCTCCTTTACATCTAGTACTCGGTTGACCGAGCTTTGCTCGGTATTTTTCGCTCGGTTTTTTTTTTAATTCGTGTGTTTTGGAAATTATATTTAGATACAAATTACATACTGATGAAATACGAATAATATTTTTTGATCTTAGCGACATAATAGAAAAAACTGAACTGGTTATTTGAATAAAAAATCATGAGTGCAATTAGTTTAATTTAAATTTTCGTGTTTTTAAAAAATACTAAAAAAAGGACTCGAAAAAATAGATTTTCTCAAAAAGGAAAGGAACTTGAAAAAAAATTAAAAATGTCGGTCGGTCTGGGCTCGAACCATGGTATTACGATTTTGTGACCGCCCAATATACCAATTAAGCTATTTGTAATCATTAATAAATTGTCAAAATTTACCTTCTTTTCTAACGATATTGTAGCAGTTTTTAATTGCCTAAAAACACGGACAAAAAGACATTTTCTAAAAATAAATCCTAGCTAGATCGATTTATTGCCCCCCGAAACTCCCTGCACACAAAATTTTATGAAAATCGTTGGAGCAGTTTCCGAGATTCCGATTATATATATATATATATATATATATATATGTGTGTATATGTATATATATATATATATATATATATATATGTATATATATATATATATATACAAGAATTGCTCGTTTAAAGGTATAGGATATACCTACGCATACATGCTCGTCGTCTTAATTTGACCCATTTTTAAATATATTGCCAATTTGATCGATAAACTTTCGCCTACGGCGTTTCTTCCCGACTCTGCCATTCACTTCTGCAATATAGATTTGCTATGTCACTCTTTCCACACAATACTAGTCAATTTATTCATAATTTATCAATAACTTGACCACAGTGCCACCTATCTGGTCCAGAATTTGTGTTATTTTTGTCTTTATAATATATACTATGTATATTGTGGACATGTCCTTTTGGTCCATAATAATAGATTTTCTTAATATTTTTATCACACTGTCACTTACTGGATTCTAGCATAACTATTAGTACCCGGATGACCGAGCTTTGCTCGTTTTTTTTTTTAAGTTACATTTAGATACAAATTACATGAATAATATTTTTTGATCTTATTGACATAATAGAAAAAACTGAACTGGTTATTTGAATGAAAATCATGAGTGCAATTAGTAGTAATTAAAATTTTTCTTATGTTTAAAAATTATAAAAAAAAAGGGCTGAAATAAAGATTTTTAGAGGGAAAAAAAAGGGAAAATCCGATATCACGCCCGACCGACATCCCACCTGAGCTATTACGATCGTTAGTAGTCTGTCAAAATTTACCTTCTTATATTGTAGCAGTTTTTTTATTGCCTGAAAACACGGACAAAAGGACATTTTCTAAAAATAAATCCTAGCTATATCGATTTATTGCCCCCGAAACTCCCTGGACACTAAATTTTATGAAAATCGTTGGAGCCGTTTCCGAGATTCCGATTATATATATATATATATATATATTTAAGAATTGCTCGTTTAAAGGTATAGGATTCACCATACAATTCGACAATACAGATATCTATTTATTTTATTACAACCTATAAGAGTCCACTGCTGAACATAGGCCTCCCCCATAGATTGCCTCATGGGGGTTTGGTTTCTGGTAAGCTCAGTTGTTTATTCAGCTGTTATCAGGAAAATGCTGCTGTCCGTCTCCTGTTTTACTTTCCCACTATCGGCTTTCACAACACCAATGGGACCCGAATACAAATACATTGTGCAAATATGACCACAATTGAAGTTGTCTTTCAGAAGTTACATGACCACTAATAGTTGTATTAATAATTGTATATATTGAACAATTACATTAGAAGATTATATTTATAAAAAATATACTTTACTTTTCAGTTGGCTTCATGTGGAAACTATGATTGCTGCGGCTCAAAAGGAATGGTTATATATTTATGATAACACAGGAACTGAACTACATTGTGTGAAAAAAATGGATAAGATTTTACGGATGGAATTTCTACCATACCATTTCCTTCTAGCTGCTGTTGTACGTATATATTTTCAAATAATATTATTTGTATTTGCATATAAAAATAATAGTAATGGTTATTAGTTAGGCATGTCTGAAGCTTAAGAATTCTTTCTGGTACCTATAAAATTTGCCTGTGTTGAAACTGCACACAGTGATTCTTTGCTCTATTCTCAATTAAGAGGAGTACTTTTAATATAACCAGCCAGTTGACAGCATTTTACGTAAAAGCTATGATTAGATGCGAGATTGCCCGTCGCCTTATACCACATAAACGCACCTTAATTAGTGGAACATAATTTACGTGATAGAGCTATGCTGCAGTTATATTACTAGTATAGTTGTAGCATGAATGGGTCGGCTCGACCGGGGCAGGACCATGCTCTCACAGAATACCAGCGTAAAATGGTAGCTTAATGCTGCTGTGTTTCGTATGGTGAGTGTAGAGAACCGGAGACCCTTTTTACTGGAAATGAGGCATTTCATCTTAGTCCTCACGGGTGACAACGCATCTGCATTTTGATTCGTGGTGAGGATAGATGTAGATATCTATGGGCCACAGCAACCACTTACCATCAGGTGGACTATATGGTTGTTTGTCAAACTATCCTTTTAAAAAAAAAACCTCAAGATTTTTCTAGCATACAATAAAGCAGTATATCTATACATATTTATATATATATACATACATCATATATATATATATATATATATATATATATATATATATATATATATATATATATATATATATATATATATATATATATATATTGATTGTGTGGTATACTGACATCTGGTAAAAACAGTATGGACCCTAGTGGAGTGTGCCATAATATCTATCCGTCTTCTATCCAGGTTAGCTGCAGTGAATAAGAGTGTCTCATGCGTAAAATAGGATGTCTTGTTAACAGTAAAAGGTGTCTTGGTTTACTACACCTATCACACACAGCAGCGTTATGCTGCTATTTTACGCTGGTATTCTTTGAGAGTGTGATTCTTTCCCGGGCAAACCAATCCATTCGTGCTGCATCTATAATATAGCTGTGTGTGGTTATTTCTTCTTGATTGATAGTGGTTCTTCAGTTCTTGAATGATACACGCTGTGTGTTATTCCATCTTAATCCCTATGTAACAGAAAAACTACAGGCTTTTTTGTTTGAAGCACACATTGCATCAAATAATATATACTTTTTAAATGAATAAAGACAATTTTAAACATAATATTAACTAAAGGGTGATCCATAGATATTATAACAGTGTTAGGGACGTGGCATAGCCGTGCCGTGCTAGTGCAGCAAAGAGAATATTTAAGGGCTGGGTAATGACACTGACATTAACGTGTGCTAACAAGTTTATATAAAATGTGTGTACCCATACATTTTTAAGCTCCTGATGGAATATGGTCCTGCCACATTCTTGACACTACACTGATTTGTTTAAATTAATTTCTTTATTTAGAGAAATAAAGAAAAATTGTTAACTACTTAAGCCTTTTCTAATATTTGTTATGTAATTTTTTCAGAATGAATATGGATTTATGTCATGGTTAGACATATCTATTGGAGAAATTGTGGGTCATTATAATAACCGTATGGGCAGAACATCTGTAATGACTCAAAACCCATATAATGCTACCATATGTTTAGGTAACTCTAAAGGAGTAGTATCTTTATGGTCACCAAATGTAAGACAGCCTTTAGCAAAGATATTGTGCCACAAAACACCTCTGACTGCAATTGCTGTGGACAATCGAGGAATGTACGTATATCATAATTAACAAATATAAACATAATTTTTCTTTAATAAGAACGAACCTCAGTATTGAGTATTATGCGCATATGTGTGTATCTAGCAATGGACTTTTAACGGGCTGTTAAAAAAAGAAAAGGAATGTGTGTAGCAATAAGTTGATAAAATTTAGCAACTATCTGATGAAATGTATGGCAGCGCATAAAATACGAAACAAACAAACACTATTTTTTATATATTAGACTATTATTTCATTTTATAATAACCTGACATATAAAAAAGCGCCACGTAAACTACATATGTAATTTTTTTAAAACCTTGCCTTTGTTAAGGAGTTAAAATGTAAGTAATATTATATGAAATTAAGTTTTTTCTGAAGCCTTTATTTAATACCAGAAGAATGCAATTTTTAACATATTTTATAAAATAATATTAATAAACGCTAGCGATAAATCTAGTATTCCTGTTAACTAATTGCCTAATCTAATATCTTTATGTATATAAAATTCCGGTGTGCGCGTGTACACGTGATCCTTCTCTTAAACGGCTCGACTAATGTTGTAGTGAGTGCGTGTCAAATAAATGAACATGGTTCCGACTTAACATATGCAGCATGCCATTTATCTTTCTTGATCGTCTGAGCTTCTAACACAATCATTTCGAGTTTACTTTAGAGTGGTTAATGACAATATTAGTAATGTTAGTAGCGTTACTAAAATTCTTTCTTGAATACATGACATACAAATAAATTCTGTGCTCAAAATTAAACTTATGATTGCTTACAAAAATCATGATGAACCATTAAAAACTGAACTGCAGGACAACAGCTCTGCCAAACTGGGATCAGTTGCTTATTTGGAATACTTGTATGATTTATTTTTTTTATTTAAAAAAGAATATTATCAATGCTATAAACATTACTAATATTCCCCTTAACCACTCGTGGTAAGCTTAAATTGCTTGTGTTACGAGTGGTTCATGCCAGTAGTCGAATGGCGGATTTGAACCCACGACCTTTTTGAGTTCGCGGTCCGCGCCCTGCCATTAGGCTACTGTCGCTTTATGTATTTATGATGTATATTCTACCGTTACTGTTACAGCCTATTAAAGTCCACCGCTGAACATATTCCTCCCCTCATAAATTGCCTCATAAAAAATACTTGCCGTCGGCAAGCGGGTTGACAACCACGATTTTTTGTTTCTAGTCATTATTAGGCAGGCGCTGCTGCCCATCTCCTGATTTGTTTCCCTCTGTCGCCTCTTACGACACCCACGGGATGATATGGAGTAGTGGATATTCCTACACCGTTAGTCTACAATATGACTATAATATGATCTTATTGCCTATTTTATTGCAGTATACAATATACATCCGGTGATTGAATCCTTGCCTAGATGATTTTTAATGTCCTCTCATTTTTCCAGCCTTATATGACACCTTGTATGACACTGAATTCTTTCTTGTTGTAATCTTATTGCGTAAGCGTTAATCTCGTAGCGGTATAAAAACGAGTTGGTGCTTCTATGTGTGCGAGTGTACTACAAATCCTCAAAGGAAAGCTTTTAATTATATTCGGAATTTGTCGGAAGTAATCGGCCAGTAAAACATTTTTAATGGAACAGATGTTTATTAAAATAGCTAGAGTGCAGTATTTATTTGATTTGGTAGAGTTAGTTCTGGTTGTGGTTGTTGTTGAGAACAACAACAAGAGAAATATGTAATTATTTCTTATTTTCGCGAACGCTACACATTGATTAAAACTACTTTTACGGATTTTTTCGCGTTTAATTTTTTTGATTTTTAATTCCCGACGTTTTGGGTGCTCTCTAGCACCCATGATCCCGCCTGTAGATGTGATAGTTGTGCAGCCTTAAATGCGTAGATGGTCTCAATTTAATCTCTCCCAGCAAGATCACCTTGATGTCCTGTTGTTGGGCGTTGATGGACGGAGTTCATGGATCCTCTGTTGTATCGGTATGATTTCAATAGGGGTCCCACGTGACCATGGGTCCTGGAAAGCACCGGAAACGTCGGGAATAGAACATCAAAAAAAATTAAACTCGATAAAATCCATAAAAGTTATAGTACATACATAGTTTTAGTGAAGAGAAATATTTATTAAAATAAAATTTTGGCCCAATATTTGTCTTTTAGTAGCAGTAAGAAAGTCCATCATATATTGTTTTTAACTAAAATTGACGTGACAAACGGTTCACCTTACGGTATGTTGGTACTGCAGTGTAGTTAATGGACACCTGCAACTTCAAAGAAGTCTACAAATGCGACGTCACCTTTGAAGACTAAAATGGAATGACTAATTATACGGATATGTAATTATATAATAGCAGAAAAAAGCGCTAGCACTTGTAAGCAAATGGCGAAACTATACAGTTTTCGGCCAGGACACGTTTGCTAACTTCTGTAGCACTGACACAATCCGCCATTTTGCTTATTTGCTTATTTTTGTGCAATTAGTTTCAAGTAATAAAATAACATGAATAAACATATTATACATGTTATTAAAATTCATGATTGGTAAGTTTTTAATATGAATACTTTACAAACATATATTTAAATTAGATTAGGTTCACCGGTTAAAGCTAACTTAGTGTCCTAGAGGAAAATAGCTATTTACCATTTGACAGCGCTTACCGCTTACGATCGCCATTTTGCTTACAAGCGCTTCCTAACGCTTTTTTCTGCCAAACACAGCCATTATAAGACAGATAATTAAAAGACGGTGTCTTTATCCCCTTAAGTCTGGAACAGCAGTGCACGCACTGCTAGTTGGCAGCGACTCCTCAGCAGAAGAGAAGTCCTACCACCTAGCAAACAATCATGTCCCATGGGTGTCGTATGAGACCATTATGAAAAATACCATAACGATATCATGTATTCAGACAGATACCAACCTGCTTAATATATCAGACATAAAATACCAAATGACCATTCCTACAACAAGAGAGTTCCATGTCCCATGTGAATGTTTACAATATGATTGAAGGTACATGGCCACATCGGGAGTTGACCGGAGTATGAAAATATGGGATATACGAAATCTTGATGGACCATTACAACACTACAAGTTAAGAAGTGCTCCTGTAGACTTGGAATTCTCGCAAAAGGACATGCTTGCTGTTGGGCTTGGAGAAGTTGTAGAAATATACAAGTATGTTAAAGTTCATTCAAAAATATCTTCTATTCATGCGCAATAACAATCGGACTGTGAAACTGAAATTTCTCAACACGAATAAGTTGGCTCGACCGGGGCAGTAGTAGTAAATTCTGTCTTATGTCCTTTAGTTAGTGATAAGAACAGGAGGCTTTTTACTAGAGATGGGTCGAATATTCGTTTCATATTCGGTATTCGGCATAGTCGGCAGCTTTACCGAAAGTAGTAAAAGTATATTTTATTTATGGGTTATTTAATCTTCTTTTATAGCGTTATGTTTTTGAAGCACTGTAGATTTATTTCCAATTATAGCAAATAGAAAACTTCATAAAATGTTTCTGAAATCAAACAAAGAAACATTACATTTCATTAGTACATTTCACTTTACAATGGTCGTCAGTTTCTCTAAAATATGTAAGTCCAAATAGTAAATCTCCTGCTACTCATTTTTATCATATAATTATCTATTTTCACTAAGAATAACACAACGAAATAATTTTTTTCTCACAAAAATAGACAAAACATAAGCATGTGCCGGTAATTTGCTCGGTACTAGATAATGACCGAGGGCCAAGTACCGAGGTGATCCTGCCGAATAATGTTCGGCCGAATATTCGGTTCGGTAAAAGTTTTACCAAACTTTCGGCCAAATATTCGTATTCGGTGAAATCCATATTACTGTTATATACCCATTATATACACATTCATATTAGGAAGGGTTATGTTTTTCGCGCGTATCTTGTATGTGTATTAGTTTGTAAATTTCTTTATTACCTCGTATCGTTATATTCGTCTTAAAAGCTCAAGTATCCTTAGATAGCTGTTTGAATAAAAATGGCGGATGTTTGGCGCGGAATAGTAATACGTTAATTTAATAAAAATTAACAAAATTAACAAAATTAAAAGAATATTACAAAATATATATATATATATATATATATATATATATATATATATATATATATATATATAGTTATATCTTTAAATTTAATTAAGAATACTAAATTGCGTAAAAATGGGCCACGTTTGTGTCGGACCTGCGTATTTTCCGTGTCCAACTGGCGACGGTTGAAAGCCATACGTTTTGTATTACTATACAATTCAATCAACCCGTGCTTAACGCGTCAACTGAGCACGTTTTTGCGATCAAGCAACGTTAAAAGAGATTTTACAAATTAGTGTGCAATTAAACACGGTTTTTAACTGGTCTGTTCGAAACAAATCCGTGCTGATTTAGCGCGGTCATAAATGTTCGGAATAAATCATGCGGGCCGAAGCAGGCGGGAACCGCAGCCGCGGCGAGAGAAAAATAAAACGCAAGGTGTTAACAGAAACTTTAATTGCAAATCGTCTCTTAATATAAATTTTTTGAAAACTACACCGAGTACTCTTAGAAGTTCGGCCCTGTTGAGAAAGGGTTATAATGTTATAGTTGACGTCCATTTCAATCATTATTTATAATTTGATTATAAATCTTGTTATAAATTTTATTATAAAGCTTCGCGGGGCTCCGACGACCGGGCTTCCCTCGACTGCGCTACGGGAGAGAGTTGGGTAAGGGAAGCACCACGCCACTTAACGTAGCGCAGTCAAGGGAAGGCCGGTCGACGGAGCCTCGCTTCGCGTGGCGAATGATTTATAAAAAAGAAAAAGTTGGCGGCGTCTATTCGCTCGCTCACTCGACTCCGCCATCTCTTTCTAACCTAACATGTACGAATCGGGATGCCCTAAGTTCCGAGCTCTCTTCGTTCGATCTTATTTATTTATTTATGCTTTATTTGCACACCGAGTACAAAAAGGCGGACTTAATGCAACAAGGCATTCTCTGCCAGTCTACCTCCAGGCTAAGCAGAGAAGATATTGTGGGTGCAAAGTGCAACTGAGTTAAAATATCTTTAAGTAGTCATATACATTACATGTTATAAACATAATTATACACATATATTATATATAGATATACATACAAGATATATAAATATATACATGTATATGCATAATGCTGCCCTAATATGCTATATATATATATATATATATATATATATAGTACATACATTATTAAATATAACTGTTTCTGATTCAAACACCTATAAAATATTTGAAATAAAAACAGGAAAAGGGAACAGTTAGAATTGAAGGATATAAAAAGTGTTAATCGACAAACTACTCCTGCAACGCCAGAAAATGATTATATAGCAAGCGTTAGAACGATGCCTTGCTCGTGGCTACGTACTACGTTACATTACTACGCTACGCTACGTACACTGCTTGGTAGCTCGTTCCACAATCTTACCGCGTGAGACGTAAAAGATTTACGTTAATAGATAATAATAACGATAACGATAGACGTTAAAGAAGCTAGTGTGACAGAGGGGGACATGGAGATTAGACTTTTCCGCAGAACGGAGACAACGATTATGGGAATCACCCTGATACTGAAATTTACATTTAAGATATTCAGGGACCAACGGATTGTGTAAAACTGAAAACAATGTGCTCAGTATTCTGAAATATCTGCGATAGCGGAGAGGTAGCTATTTAAGCTGAGAACGATAAGAGGAGATGTGATCGTATTTACGTAAACCGAAAATGAAGCGTTGAGAACCGAAGTGAAGTTCTTGAGAGGCATCAGCATAGCAAACATCTGCATAATCTCAAATAGGCAACACTAGACTCTGTATTAGTGTTGCGCGGCTAAGTTGACATCTGGCACTAGCGCCATCTAGTGTCGGGTAACAGAGCGAGGAGAGAACTTTCCAGAAAATGACATCACTAATCTTTCAACCGACAGCGCCATCTGTTGTCGAAACGAAGAACTAAGCTTCTAGAAACTGAGACTCGAATTTTCTGCGCTTGGTCGGTTGGCGCGCGTATTTACTTGAATATTCTGGATATTTTCGTGGAAGAGCCCTATATAAAGGCGCTGCAATACGCGATCGGGGAAGTATTGAATTTGGCGAGACAAGCGAAGCTTCGGAGCGGAATAAAGTGAATCAGTGTGATTAATTATTGGTGTTTTAAGTTTTAATTTGTGTAAAGAAAATTAAAGTGTTAATTTAGGTAATTCTATCGGCAATTTTTATTGTCACGAACCTCAAGCTCGTAACATTAGCATCGCCTTAGTCCCTATCGGTAAAAAAAAATCTTGAAACAATACAGATAACGCAGAGTGTGAGTGACCTTTTTGCTCACTTCATATATATGCGGTCGCCAACTGAAGATGTTGTCAATAACTAAGCCAAGATCTTTAACAGTTGTTGAGTAAGGAATAGTAACATTATTAAAAATTATAGGAGGTAGCGCCTTCATATCAATTTTAAACAATCTACGAGAACTACCAACCACAAGAGCCTGACACTTTGATGGATTAACCCTAATACCAAATCTGTCTGACCAGTAATAAATACAGTTAAGGTCGCAGTTAAGCTTCTTAATCACATCATCGATACCTGCCACCTCAGTTTGAGCATGAATTTGTAAGTCATCAGCATACAGATGGTACGAACAGCGAATGTGGGATGTAATGAGATTTATAAAGACTGAGAACAGGAGAGGAGAGAGAATTCCGCCTTGAGGAATACCAGCAGACAACGAGCACCAATCGGAGACGATCTGACCCACTCGAATAGCCTGCTGACGACCCCGAAGATACGAGGAGAACCAGTCCCGCGCCGACGAAGAGAAACCCAGGTGACAAAGTACAGCCAGGAGAATATCATGATCGACAGCGTTAAAAGCGTTAGAGAAATCTATTAGGACTAACACAATCAATTTTGAGTTCTCCAGTAAGAAAATCTTCTGTAACTTTCAAAAGAGCTGTGGTTGTACTGTGCCCAGGTCTAAAACCAGATTGAAATGTGCTAAGAAAATTATTTTTGAAAATGTAACAAGAAATTTGTTTGTGGACAATAGCTTCAAGAACTTTAGATAAAAAAGTGAGAATAGATATTGGGCGAAAGTGAGAGAAAGAACTGGGGTTATTTATTTTGGGCAGCGGAATAACAAATGTTTTTTTCCAAAGAGTAGGAAAATCCCCAGTCAATAGTGAATGATTAATAATGTGAGTAATAACAGGAGTAACATTGTCTAGAATTAAGGGGATCATGAGTCTATTCACATCATCGCAGCCAACTGCCATAGACTTAATACAATAGATGATCTTTTTATATCCTCATCAGCAACGGTAGAAAAATTAAATGTGCAGTTACGAGATTGTGGCATGGAATTCAAATAAGAAATAGTACTTGATTTAACAGAAGCCTCCATTTGGGTAGTTGAAGAAAAATGTAAGTTTAGATCACTTATAGAAATGATTGCAGGGTCCACGTTACACGTAGGTTTACCGAACCCGATCGTCCGGAGAAATTTCCATGTATCAGCCATAGAAGAGTTCATGATATGATGGTGAATATAGCGGCGTTTAGCGGCTCGTACCATCTGATTACGTCGATTTCTCGCAGCTTTGAATTTTGCCTAATTGAGTTCACAAAGGTTCATCTTGAATTTCCTAAACATCTGATCGCGTTTAGTCATGGCCTTACAGATATTTTCAGTAATCCATGGCGCAGGCGCGCGCTTTAACCTAACCTCACAAATAGGTGCGTGTTTGTCATACAGGTTATGAATATTAGAGTTAAATGTCGTAATCTTGTCATCAATACTCTCTGCGCTAAATGTATCGTTCCAGTCTAAAAGCGAAGCATCATGTTGGAGCGTTTCTACATTTAGCCTAGCAAAATTACGCAGACGCACTATTACTGGCTTTACTTTGGGAGGTTTGTTTTTATAGGAAATGAACAGTAAATCATGTCTCGAGAAACCAGGAGCAGGGAAATGTCCGTGGCGCGCAACACGTTCTCCTGAGGAGACTAATATCAAATCTAACAAAGTATCCTCAGTAGTAAGATTATGATGGGTGGTGTCAAGTGGAAGAATTGAAAAAAGTTGCCGATTTAATAATTAAACGCAGTCCACGCGATCTAGGGTTTAACCAGGTTTCCGAGATAAGTATCGCGTGGATGCTTTGATTATTAAAAGTTTCTAAAAGGTCATTGTAATGCTGCAGAATACTCTGGCCATTAATGTGACAAACGTTGAAATTTTTATTATAATTATCGAATTTTTGGGTTAGGAGAGAACGAAGTGTAGGTAGTTCTAATTCAGAGTCAGAAAATGAATAAAAGGAATCAGAATTAGCAGAGGTGAATGAATCGTTATCGGAAACTGACATGTCACTAAAAATCAGTATATAATATTATATGAAAATAAATTAACATATAAATAACTTATAGAAATAAAAATATAACTTATTTAAGTAAATAAAAAAATCTTACACTTAATAAAACACAGAAATCATATTGAGTTAATAATACTACCTACTACTATAGACTAATACCGTCGCTGATTCAACACGCTTTTGAAGACTCAAACAGTCTAAGAGTCAAGTCAAAAAAGTGTTCAGTTCAACTGCACACTATTTTGTCAAACCTCCCCCCCCCCCCGCGCCACTTGATCACAAAGGCGTGCTCAGTTGGAGCGAATTAAACACGGGCTAGTAGAATTCGGTAGTAATACAAAAGCGTGTGGATTTCGCGAGACCGGTGTCGCCAGTTGGACACGGAAAGGGAAATATGCGTCGGACCTCGTGCTATCATATGAAATTTAGAATAGTTATAAATATCTGTAGCCCAGTCATATTAAAAACAAAAGAAATAAATTGTTTTTAATAATCCTAGAAAGTTACTACAGCTACCACACAATTAAAATTCTCTTGAAAAATTGAACTACTTACGTAATTTTCTGTTATCTGTTTTGATTGGTAGGTATGCAATCATAAATCTCTACATTTTGCCCGACTTATATAAGTAACATCACTTTTAAATTGTCTTTTTTCCAGTTGGGTTTTTGATTTTATTAAATTATTTACTGTTAACTGTTAATACCATTTTTGTTGGTCTTAGTCACTGACCGTGCCTTTGCATTTTTATACTGAATAGCGAATATATTAATTTTATTTTAATTTTTTTACAGTAATTGTTGTTCACAAACAGCTGAGAAGCCATATCTAAGGCATAGAATGGCGAAATCTATTAGTAATTTCAAATTCTGTCCATATGAAGATGTCTTGGGGATTGGAACTAGTAGTGGTTTCTCAAGCATAATTGTACCAGGTAAATATAATCTGCTCGCCTTTAATTTTAACTTTATATTATTTTTACGTTATTTGAAATACATATTATAACCATTCAGGAGTACCTACCACATACAGTCAAGTATACTGTAGGCATATCCCCCTAGATAGAGTAACGACTTGATGAGTCATGCAGGAAGTGGACATGTCCTATTTATATTCCCACCAATATTACTGAAATTGTTAATAGCAGTTAAAATGCTAATTTACCATATGTTTTGTAGTGCCTACAAGAACATAGTAGGATACCATTTAGAAGAGTAAAACTGTGCAGTTTACCATTTTATATTGACAGACTTTTTTATTGCTACATTATGTGTACAGCAAATTAAGATATCCTCGTGTATTTTTGCTAATTTAGCATTTCTTTTTGTTGGTGATATTTTTTTTTCATATTCATGATTTTATAATTATTAGAGTTGTACTGACTAATTAAACATTACAGGAAGTGGCGAACCAAACTTTGACGCATTGGAAAGCAATCCCTTCCAAACTAAAAAACAAAGAAAGGAGGCAGAAGTCAAAGCTCTACTTGAAAAGATACCGGCAGAACTCATTACACTTAATCCATTTGATGTTATGGAAGTTGATGTGCCTTCAATGCAAGAACAAATGGAAGCTAGGAAGAAGTTATTGGTAAGTTTTAAAAGCTTTCTTTATGGAAAAAAAGATCTTTGAAATGCTATAAAAATTATATTAATTAATGTTATAACACATGTCAGATTTAAATTCTTGCCCAGGCCAATTTATGCCAAAGCATAATTATTCCTGCCAGAAAAATACTGCCATTTTCATCTAAAGCATTTGTACTACTAATTAAAGTTTTCATGTGTGGTAGGGTCACGCTGCAGCTATATTATGGTTGTAGCAGGAATAGGTGGGCTCGTCGTTGTATTCCAAACTAATTACAGTACAGTGCAGAATCGTGTAGTGGCGGTTTGAATATCCACTAACACTTTCAGATTTATGTATTTTACGTGGTAGAGCCATGCTGCAGATATATTACTGGTATAGTTGTAGCACGAATGGGTCGACTCGACGGGGGAAGTACCTACGCTCTCACAGAATACCAGCTTAAAATAGCAGCTTAGCGCTGCTGGCTTTCCCATGGTAAGTGTAGAGAACCGGAGACCCTTTTTACTGGAATCGAGACATTCCATCTCAGTCCTCACGGGTGACAACGCATCTGCATTTTGATTCTTAATCGAGGATAAATGTAGATGTCTATGGGCCAAAGCATCCACTTACCATCAGGTGGACTGTGTGCTCGCTTTTTACGATTATTCTATAAAAATATTTTTTTCCATTATGTGTGCCAGATAAATATGAAATTATACTGTAAAATTAACAGTGTGAAGTTGAATGAATAATGAACAATAAATTGAACGCTATACAATATTAGTGAAGAAAAAGGAATAATCTTCAATTCCAACATAAACATGATTGATTATTTAGTTGTATCATCTTGTTTCAGCATCTTAAACCCAAAAATATAGATATCACACCAAGGCATAAAAATAAGGGAAAAACAAATATTGCAAGAAAGAAAATTATAAAGAGTTCTACAAGAAAGGTAAATATTATATGGCTTATTTTGTAATTATTTAAAGTACTAGTGCTATAGAGTTAAGCTATATAGTTTTATCTTACGAATCTCTAAAGGCTGTTTAAAAAAAACAAATACTATTTTTGTTTTGCTGTTCCATTTTATAAATTTTCGTCATGGACCATCTTTTAAAATAACATGTCAGAGGCAAGTAGTAGATTATTTGTTATGTATGTGAACTTGAGAAAGCAGCGAAGGTTGAATTCCTCATAACTTATTGGTATCGTATTCGAAAAATAGCACTATCTCGAAAAATGATTATCTAGGTTCCAGGCTCAGTTTTTTTTTTCGTTATAATTACTTTAAATATAGGCAAAATATAAGCTAATTGCATTTTGCATATAATTGACATTTAGAATAGCCGTATCTGTTTTATAACGAATATATTTTAAAAATAATGTGCATCTTAATTTTAACTGAATAGAAATGTTCTTTATGTGATGCGCCTGCGATAATAAATAAAAAGAATGTATAGTTGCCTGCCGCGCCCCGCACCGGCCTACGCACCCGGTCTATCTATGTCAAGTGAGACATCGATATTTTGGCAGAATGTTGAACTCACTTCGAATCGTAGCAGGCCATAGTTTACGCTGGATTCATAAAAATCATTTTCAGCACATAAATCTGAAAAAGTTTTTTTTTTAATTATGCCACATCAGATCTGATTTTCATAACAGTTATCCGGAATCACGTAAAATCATATCCATGAACAATATGCAAATTCAGAGTAACATGAAAATGTGGTGCTAGATGTGAGTGTCACTCATAATTTACAAAAATGACCTGAAAATTTTAAATATTAAAAGACATATGAAATAGCAAATGTTACAGTCTTAAAATCAAAAAGATTTCATTTCAATTGTTTGGCCTCACGTTACTTTTAGGACACTGATATATTATCTTCTATTGTTACATGTTTAAGTTAATATTATACTTTTTGTTTCCAGGAATTTATTAATCAAGCTATAGAAGCCAAGAAATTGTTAGATATGCCTGAGAAACAGACAGCACCTAAAAAGTCGTTTGGAGTATTGGATAGATTTGTTCCGAAAACAAAATTGAAAATATAAAAATTTTATTTTGATTTTATGATTTCACTGCAATACAAAGAATTTTTCCTTTTTATCATAAGAAAAGTTGTGAGGGCACAGCATTATTCAGACAGCATACTAGTTAGGTCTCAATTTTAAATAAAGAATATCACAAATATTAATGTCATACTTACTTACTTACTTATCTTCACGCACAATCCCTAACGGGGTAGCCAGAGAGAACAGATCGTCAAGTGTCCGATCCTTACATATCTCTTCCGCTTCTTTCATGTTCATTAACTTCTTCATACATGCACGTCTAGGTATCCGAGTACTCTTGACCTTCCCCTCTTCGAGTAATTTGCTCACATGGTCTTCGAAAGTTAGTCTCGGTCTACCTCGACACCTTTTAATATTTACTTTCGCGCTATATATTTTCTTCATCATTCGGTCTTCGTGCCCAAACCATCGGAGTACGCCCCCTTTAATGTCATCATTTGCTTTATTACAAATCATTCATCAATCATTACAAAGGGTCGCCTAACACTGCACTTGCCAGTACAGGACTGCCATTCAAGAACCCCCATAGTTTGTCAGTTCTTCGGACAATGTGGCACATTCACTTTCTGTGTGCCTGTCAGTTGTTTCACATATATATGTTTATCTTACATGTATATCTGTATCTTACTGCCTAAAAATCCTTATCCTAAAAAATGTAATTTCTGTAATCAGAAGTCATATTCATCACTAGCAACACACACTGGAGACTGGTATATCAGGTGTTACCAGGCAGGCAGCATGTCGGTAATCACAGTTTTTCTATTATTATATAGATAGATCAACGTGTTCATTGTTATGCTGCTGTGTGGACCCTCACCCACGATTGTAGAAGTGGCAAGTCTTCCCGATCAACGATGGGGTAATCCCCAAGGACGCTGTTGGTACTGTTCCGTAAAGGAGTCAGCACGGAGGCACTTCACCTCGCTAACTATTGCAGTGAGGCTAAACAAATATAAATCTACTAGGTTCTCGAACTTACGGCCTGGCCACGGGCAACGGCGGCGCGAACGGCGAAGCGACAGGCGGGGCGATAATTCGCGCGGCGCGATTTGTGGATCACGGGCAGTCACGTTTACCGCCGCGAACAGATAGGCCGAGAGTGAAATGTCTTTATCAAAGTTATCTCGATATTGCTCAGAAAGTAATTATTTATTGATTCAAGACATAATATTTGGAAGAGATTGCGGAGTACATGATTTGAATAGCAATCGGGTTATAAATGAATTCCACAACAAATAGAATGCATCTAGAAAAAAAAATCGAGTAAATACCAGAAAAAATACCAGAATATTATATTATTATAGTGTCGAAACCTGCGATTATATTCTTGTTAATATTCAACCAGAATTGGAGATAAAAGTCAATGCGGATAGAATTTTAAGTTGTTTTTGTCGCGTCGCCACTCGCCGCTACGCGTGGCTTCATCCATACATTTCTATACAATTGTTTTAGTCGCTAGACGCCTCGCCGTTCGCGCCGCGCGAATTCTCGCTACGGCGAATATCCCGTGGCCAGGCTGTTAGAGAGTTCATGTGACGATGTGTGGGTTAAGCCATTCTTACCATCTAGCAAACTAATTGAAGAATTATGTTTGTGTGCAGTGTATCTCCCTCCTCCTCCAGTGTAAAAAAGTGTAATCACATAAAGTTGTTATCGTGAAGATGCTGCTGCATATCTCTTGATTCAGTTTTCATAAGGGGTATAGACAAAATCATATGTGGTAAAGCCATACTGTAATTGTTATTATGATTTACAGCACAAACAGGTATGGAAAATGTTAGTTGTAGTACGTTTTTCCCATCTGTATCGCCTTTGTAACCAAGTTTGTTATAACCATTTAGAAACGTCTTGCGAAATAATAGGATCTACTACAATTTAAAAAGCAACTTTTTAAACCCTTTAACGTTTTGACACTTCATCATCATTAGAATCTTCCATTCCAGATTTGATTATCGCCAGCAGGCAGACTGGCGATCACTGTAACAAATTAATTAAATAATCGCAATTTCGACCGCTCTTTCTCGTCTGGGTATTTTACATCTAGCATATACATGTTTAGCAGTGGACTTGTGACTGTAATAATGATGATGATATACGGTTTGCCACCCTTTCCATAGTCATCTCTTACGATACCCACGAAATTAAATACGGTTTACGTTTTTTTTTTCATTGGAAATTATAGTTTGCTTAATAATTATGTAATTAATAAACAGACTATAATTTCCAATGGAACTCACTTGACACAGAGTGGTTGACAGATATAAGGCTCGTGGGCAGCGACGTAGTCCCCTGCAAGTTGCGGAAGTTCGCTCCAGGGTCACAGCATCAAGCTCAGAGCTCACCGCCCAACGAAGCACCAGTTGGATTACCTCATATGGCAGCCATGATAGGTGGTAATAGATTGTCTTATGCCGCCACCACCACAATCTTTGGACATACAACCAGCTAAAGCCAATAAAATCACTTCTATACTTTCGATTTTGTATATTTCAAAATACTTTATTTACATGATTTTATATACACTAATATAAATTTAACATGATCACAAAACATTAATGTAACAGATTTAATGACAAAGAAATGTCTTTCGAAATGTAAATAAAAAAAATATAAACATTAGTTCCCTTAAATTATAGCTAACAAGGTATGTCAAATAGATCGCATAATCCTTCAGAACCTCGCAATGAAAATGAAAAGTCATGTTTGGTTACTGGTGGACTCAGTCTAAGAAGATAATCTGAAACAAAATAATAAAATCGGATAGTTACCAAAACAAAAATCGAAAAACTTAGCTTCCAAACTCGAAAACTAGAATAACCTCTAAATATTAAGTAGTAAGAAGCACAACACATTAAGCAGCACGGGGGATCAACAGTTTTAACTACTAGTGAAAAATGATAATTCAAATTTAAACTATTTGGAAAATCAAACATTTGCCACCAAATTTACATATCTACTATACTGATTAGTTTTCAACATCAAGAGGCTTAAAAAGAGAAAATCAAAGTTGATATTGTATTACTCTCATGCTCATGTTGTGATCAAGAGAAGCAAAAATATTTTTTTAGTTAAATACAAATGAACAAGACGTAACCACACGATTTGAGAGCACTTCCATTGAGTACATGTTTAAATTTTATGATTTAAAAAATATTATGCTTTTGTTTGTATAATGGTACGTACAGACGTGCCCAAAAAAAAGCATGCTCATAAGTTTGCTTAAAATGAGCATACTCTGCAACTGTTCACATTTGCCAGCAATAAGCACGATTAAAGCATGAAACGTGCTATTTGGCACCAGGCTCTCGGCCGAAATGGATGTACAAAAATATAGTGGCAGTGCTATCCATACCAGAACTTAATAAAATAATCATATTGCTTGCAAACGAATGGTGTAAGAAGAAAAAGCAAAGTTTTTTCTTCCCCCCAATGCGACATATCGAGGTTTTTTTTATTTTTTATTTTAAATTGACGCAGCACCTGTCGCGAATCGAGATGGATTCAATAAAACATGCTCATAAGCAATTCTGTTCAGTTCAGACGCCCTCGGAGCACGCACTTCTACCCGCGCCTCAGATAGCATGCTCGAAAATCAAACGTCGGTTGATTTTAGAGCATGCTCATTACTAGCGCTGCGGCACACGTGCTACTAATGAGCACTTGCTCAGTAAAAGCATGCTTTCGTGCTAGTAACGAGCATGTCTGTCGTACCTTAACTTGTAACTGTAATGGATATTTTCTAGTTCAGGAAAGGCAAAAGCAACTTAGCTCATTAAGCCATGAACATGGTCAAAATGCTTTCATTAAATTGGTTAAAGCATTATGTATGGAAAGATCATGTGTATTTTAACTTTATTTTACCTGCTTTAACAGTAAAATACACTCTTGATATTATTTTTAGTGCTATGGCACTGTTCCTTTCGTACTATGCAAGTTTCGTTTCTCTCCTTTGATAATAACAAATAAAAACATAACCTATTTCAATTTTCGAAGTTCACTTATAATGATGATAAATACTTAATTACTTACTTGAATTGTGATACATATTTTCACAATTATGTGTGTAGCTCTGTACTTCACTGTCTTCCATATTTTCTTCCATCCTTGTCTGAAACAATGATAATTATCTTAATTACATTTGAATACTTCCAGCAATACAATAACGTTAATAATTAATTAACGTTAATAAAATTATACGTGGTAGAACCATGTTGTGGCTATATTACTGGTATAGTTGCAGCACGAATGGGTTGGCTCGAACGTGGAAGAACTACTCTCACAGATTACCATTGTGAAAATAACAGCTTTACGCTGCTGTGTTTTGAACGGTAAGTGTAGAGAACTGGTGACCCTTTTTACTGGAAACAAGGCATCCCATCTTAATCCTCACAGGTGACAACGCAACTGCATTTTGATTCGTAATCGAAGATAGATGTAAGATGTCTATGGACCACAGCAACTCAACTAAGAAAGGTCAACTGTGTGCTTGTTTGGCATGCTTATCCTAATAAAAACAAAACGAAAATAGAGAGAGCTCCAAGGAGTTCAGATTAATTCCAGCCGTCACAGCCGTCCGTTCAAGAAATCAGCCAGGATTAGGAGCCAGTGTATATTAGCATTTACTTACTTTGCTAAGTTTTCACTCATCAGTTGCTGTTAAAAATTTAATCAAAATCTACCACCAACTTATGTCCCCATGACCAAAGGCGCTGCACATCTTATTAGTTATTTATTTAAAATTATATTTAAATCTATTTATATAAAATAAAGTAAATATGATCTTTGTTAGATTTAGTCATTTTATAAGAGGAGGCAGCTAAACTCATGCTATGTTCATGCCAAACTCACCGCCGCCCATAAACATCTGCAATGCCGAAGAAAGGGTAAGTCAGATTTTGAGGAAGAAGCAGGCCTTTTCTTGAAGGTCTATAAGTTGTATCGATCCGAAAATCCCACTGACGACATTAAATTCCACAAAT